GTGGAGAGCTTCTAGAAAAACTAAAGGAATTTCCATTGGATTTCCCCTTGGGGCTGCATTATTCATCGGGTCACGCTAAGTAAGTCAATCGTAATAATTCCTACGTCAGATCAGGTGGATACTCAGCCTCCTGTTCATGGCAGGGATGTTCGATGGGGAAAGTTAGGCAGGCTGCACTAATGTAATTTAGTCCTACTTGTAGTTTACTCCGTACGCCGTAATAATGATGGTATTCCCGTCGTGGATCGCTTCTGGCTATAAGAACGCTCGTGCTCCTCGGCCGTAACTTTTTTTCTCTTTTCTCCCTCTCCATCATCCGTGACTTACGTGAACTCCATCTCGAAGTTATTAACTGCTACTATCTGCTATCTACTCCTGCTACTACTAGCAACCTACGATATTCTCTCCACCCAACCACACCACACCACCATACTCAAGATGCCTTCCATCGGAAACTCCAGCTTCCCTCCCTGCCCAGGACCTCCCCCCAAGGGCCCTCTGCCTCCTTTGCCCAAATAAATCCGCCCATTCCCAATGACCGTGACGACCCTGGTGCATATCCCGGCCTAGCCGGGACTGCACCCACGACCTGGGAAGGGCTGTTCCCCTTCGGCATGGATATGAAATGACCTCTCGCAATCGATCTTGGTTCCCAGCTACCTGATGAAATTCCCTCTGGATTCGGCCTCTTGTCAAAAATATCGACCATTCTAATACTCCTACTCTTCGACCAATCCGCCTCTCCCGTTTCCCCCGTCGCCCGCTCTTACGCGACAAGACATAACACGCGGGAAACCTCCCTCGCCGTGCATCCTCTCGGCCGCTGCATATTCTCCATTCAACCTACTGCAGCTCTGGCTATGCGCTCGTGCAGAAGAGGAGGGGTAAACGACCCGCTCGTTTCACCTTCGGTCTGACGGAGGGCACGGAAAACAAAGCGAAAAGCATACAATTCCTGCTTTTCCTTACATTATCTTCTTACCATTCAATCTCACCCGTTCCAATGAGCGGGGACCCAGCGCCGGCGCTACAAAGGGCCCCCCGGCTCGGCTTTCGACTTTCTGCATTTATCAGCCATCTCGATACAACATTTTTATTTACATTTTTTTTATCTTTCGACCCGCTATTCGGGATTTGGATAACTCAGCATCCATATCCATCCGGGCGTGCGGGGGGTTGCAATCTACCGAATCTTGGTCGATTACATCTCTGACGCGTAGATGCGGAGATCGACATGGTCTCCTCACCAGCCGCGGCTCCAACAATTGGCTGGCACTGCTTCGCGCTGTTCCTGTGCCCTGTTGACAACGCTCAGATCATCTCAGATCACCTGCACGCTGCGATCGGCCTTTCGTCAATTTGACGTTGGCCGGGACATCCCTCGGGGCATTTCTCTTCTCTTTTTCCTTTCCGCCTGATTATTCGCAGGTCGAACTGACAGGTCATTTCGACTCTCACCATTTTTTGTAATCCTCTTTTCTTTCCTTTCTTTGATTTTCTTCTTCTACCGGCTTTTCCTATTTTTCGTTTGTCGTTTTAGCCGCTTGCATTGTTGGGCCGATTCTGAATCAACGGCATGTATCATAGACTTTTTATTTTTTAATATACCCCCGCAGAAGCATTTTTTTGTTCTTATCATCAAATTGATCATCACACGATGTCATGCATAATCTTCTCATCTTCCTAACTGTAGAAACTATATTAAACCCCGAAACAGGAATGAACAATAACTGGATGAGGAGTAACGTGATGCATGTAATCAGAATAATGTATATGTGAATCATATCCGCTGTCGCAGCAGCATGAAACACCATTGCCCCGCTCGTTTCACCACCTCCCGGTCGCGATCCAAGTCTATGCGCCCGGCGTAGCAGGGATAATAACAAGCGAGGCGCAAGGCGCAATGTGCAATGCGGCGGTCGTCAGACGACTGACGCAGCACGGGACACGAGGGGGTCCTTGTCTTTTTCTCCGCAGTAGCTGAGCTATATGGAGCATGGAGTACAGGATGATCTTGTTGTCTTTCTAGTTAGCATATACTGTGTAGTTAGCTATATTTTTCTGAAGTATATGCAAATCAAATATCTCTCTTGCATGGACAAGGTCCACACCTACTATGCTACCCGCCGGCCGATCGGATGTGCCACCGATCTGGCGCGACTCTTATCGAGAGTGATGGCCATGCGCGATATGAACATGCATGGCGTTATTTTAGTCCGACGCATGTTGCGCTGCAGTAATGGGTATGACGCCAGGCTACAGGATACAAGATACAGACAAGGCATGCCATAGCCATAGACAAAGCAGAGGTACTGTAGTTTACAGCGTATCTAGCCCCTCTTCCTCATAACTACTCTCCTGCTCTTGCCGGTTTCATTCCCCTTCTATCTACGTGCATGGCCAACTCATACGATTATGTCGCCAGCCCCACGTGAAAAGCACGATAGCGGCCTTGAAATATAGAAATTAGGAAAGAAATGCGAGTGTGTCCGCGTCGGCCGGATAGACCTAAGGCCGTTGAAATCCAGGATGCGTATCCAGGTAACTGGTATGCCCTGCGATTGGAAGAGTTCCCTGCCAATAGTGATGGTGCCGGGTGCCTGGGCTCTTGGGAAAATGGGATGCCTTGGGGCCCATGGGCCATGGGGCTGAGGTGGATATTCCAAGAAACATTAGAGTCTTGGACTACTATAGTTACGAGCTTTGATGACTCGATGATCGGTGATTCTTGGGATTGGCGGCGGGCTCGTGCGGGAGTCCCGCACAGCTGTTGGTCCGTTCGCACTTCAACGTCGTCATCAACAAGCGAAAGGAAGCCGGAGATCGCCCAGGCTGACCGATTGCTGAGGCTATTCATGCCCGTGGACCCGAGGCACTCCCCGCTTTAGGAATATGGGCTTTGAAATGAGCTTTGAACGATAATATTGACCCGCTGGCTTTCATGGGTTTGGTGGTTGAGCCCCTGGCCCCTCTTCCTTCCCCGCAAGAAGTAGAGACAGGGCTCTGGCCGTGGGGCCGTTTTACAACTTCCCGTGCTTTGACATTTCTATCGTCTTACTGTACTCCTCTTTTTCAAGGCCCAATTGTCAATGTTCTAAACATATCTCCGGGCTGTGGCGCAACCACGTGTTGTTGTGAGGTCATAGCGAGCCGCGATAAGAGCGCCTGCTGTGAGACGCAGGGATGCTGACATGGAAACAAGTCACGGAAAGAGCAGGGATTATTCCAGATACGAGAGAAATACAATGTATGCTTGGAAGACTACTTGGCAGGACATCTTAACCTCCTGCCTTGTGTGGAACGGAAGATGATGGGGATAGAATGGACTTACGAGGTATCGTGGTGCGCTGTAACTATCTGTCTCAGATAGAATACGAGAGTGCTGAGGTACATACTTCTGAAGCATAGCCATCAAGGTATTGCATGATTCTGCGGGAATATTCTCCTCACAAATCATTTTCACAGGTCTGAAGTCAACTTTTGATCCAAACGTTGAATTCAATTGGTCGGGTAAAATCGCCAGCATCGCAACTTTCGGCACTGTCCGTATGGGGTACTCCGAGGGATCGATAGTACAGTCTCAATCAACCGTGCTCCCACGCCACTTGAATCTTAAAACCCAAGAATCAAAGAAAGTGCCTGAGCTACTTGAATCAGGGACAAATAGCCGGATAGACTCTCCGAGAAACTATCCACGAACCAGATTGTCGTTCCTGGGGGTTGATTGATGTCCCTGCGTAAAAGTTAATATTCGTCCCATTCTTTGTATAGATTTTGTGGCGGACCTGGAATTACCTTTTCAACCAGTTTTGCCTATTTCAAACCAGCACCTATTACTCTCAACGTAAATTACCCCTCACTATAAGGTTTATAATTGCCCTTCGACCTCGTTCAGAGCAAAAAACGGTAGTGGGAAAAGGATGGGACTTGATCATGACTTTTTTTAGATGCCCGAGTTTATCCCGAATGGTATCTACTGGCACATGACCAGCTAAGATTAAGTTTGCGGCTGAATACGCGCATAAGACTAGTCTTGCTTCAATGTTTAGAAATCACTGGGTAATTGTCGCTGTGGTTGACGGAATTACCGGCAGATATACCGTCGATTTCAATGTAACGCGCCCGAGTATAGAGATGGTGATTACGAGAGATTCGAGGCATGGTAAGGCTTCGGAGGCTAAAGGCTACTTTGCAGCAGTAATTGATTTGATCCAGCTCTCCCTATCAAATCGAAAGGGCTGCTCGGCGCTAACGAAGCAGCTGAAGGAGAAATAGGAAGAACCATGTGTGGTCTGGTTTAAAGGGCTAGAGATGTAGATAGTAGCACGTTACTTGCGAGACGAAGATTCCTCTCCCTTTCATTATTTCGCTACATCTCGATAAAAAGCAAAAAAAGCTCAACTAGCAGCTGAATCCAATAGGATCATTAACATTAGAACAGGAGTATTTGGTTGCATCAACCGGCAGATCCACTGTAATATTCTCAAGATGGATATCCTCGATGCGAATGCGGTCACAACCACTGGCCGCTCTACTGCACTGGAGCTTCCCTTGGTATTGAAAAAGCACTGTGTAGGGCCAGACTTAGCGGAATTACTGCAAGAGAGGTTTCTAGGCCGTAATATCAAAGTTCAGTTCTTTGAATCTCGAACCGGTGGATTCTGAGCCGTTGAATCTTAATACAGAGAAAAAAACATTTGCACCCGAAAGACTGACATGTAGATAACCAGCATTCATGATATACATAACGGCCTAAATCTATGGCTAGTAGCGGCATACCTGTTCTGGATTGGCTTCGAGGCGAGAGGTCTAGGGAAACACGAATCTACTCAAGCAATCTCTCTGGCAATCTCAGAATTTCTGCAAATCTAGAAGAAAGAAGGAGCACGAGTAAAAAGCAGTACGAACCAAGGCAACTCTCTTATAGGCCACTAACGCCTAAGGCTCGGGAGTAGATAGCAAACGGCGGGACCTCCTAGGAACCACCTCATCAACGGATATTAGACAAGAAATTCGCCTCCAAGGGCCGGCACAAGGTGTAGAATAGTACCGAACGATAATGTTAACAAGCCAACAATGAGGGCTCCTGTCGGTACCGTACTGTCTGGAGACAGCATGATCGAGTTCATTATACAGCCGACAGTTCCTGACATGCCCCACGAAACCAACACTCTACTGTACTTGAGATAGAAGCGCTCCCGATTGGTGGTTTGTCTCTTGACCAACACTGGAAGAATGCTAAATCCGGTACCGTGGGCGAAAAGGGTTGCCAGCATAGCACACATTGCCTGCGACGAACCTTCAAATTGTGAAAGTAAGATAAGAAGCATCCCCCGCAAGCAAAAAATACCGACAAATGTCAGTCTGGCCCCAAGGTATGCATTGATGCTGGGTGCCAGAACACCCCCAAGTGCGAGAGCGATCATGCAATATGACAAGATCCACATTGTATTATAGTCAGTTCCGTTTGCATAATGGAAGACAAGGGGCAGCAGGCCAGTGAAAACCGTCATTCCAGGCAAGGCGTTGAAGAAGAGCAGAATCGAAAAGAAAGGTCCGCAATCTCTTGATAAAGTCTTCGAAGGGGAGCCGACCTCTGACTCCTTATGGAAATCAGATAATGACAGCTGGGTGGATGCCCCAACAGCAGCGAACGTCACTCCCAGAAACACAAGCATCCCACCCAGGGTCTCTGCATCAACCGCATCCACTCTGAAAACAGACGATAAGAGAAAACACGCCGCTGCAGCAGTTGAAAACCCCAGAGGCCCAATAGCACTCCGAGCAAGTACATGCCCCGGAAGCCCCTGGCCGATCAACGCGACCACAGCGAGGTATGTCCATCCAATGCCCAGTCCGCCAAACAGAAAGCATGTAAGCATGAGTCCAAATTTGAGGCTTTTGAGGGAGAGGCCGGCACTGATGACTGCAATTCCCCAGAGAATCGTCCCTCTGGCCACTGTGACATGAGGCCCGTTTTGAATGATCATCGAGGCGCTAGTTAGAACGCCCATTGAAATACCTAGGGATGCTAAACCAAATGGCGCAAAGCTCCATGCATCGGATATTCCAAATAGACGAGGTAGCTGTGCCTGGAGCATGCTTAGAGCATAGATTGTACCAATGCAGAACATGTTTGCGAAGCTAGCTACAGCGACCATGAACGGTGCCAGATTAGGGTCGACAGATGTCGAATCCGAGTTCTCGTGTATCATGATAATGGTCAAGAAGAAATATAGCACAGATTCTGATACCTGTTAACCCGTGGAGTAAGGAAAAGAAGCGAGGTAAGGAACGGCACAAAAGAATATCAGCGGAACGATATTCATCAAGCCTCTGTAGATTATTATCCGCTCCAGCCGCTTTACCCGTTTGTGCCGCGGTAGACTTGCGCCTTCTGGGAACATTTACTCTCATAAACTGTACTTAATTCCATCATCAAGACCCTGCGCCGGTATATAGCAATGCCGGCTGAATTCCAAATTCACTATTCACAATGCAGAGCAAGGTTTCTGATCGAGGTAGAGGCCTTGCCACGCAGAGACCATCTTTCCTCGCTGTATTGAGTGACCAATGGTCTCCGTCATCGAACCCTAACGGGATCGTGAATCTAGGCCTTGCCGAGAATGTGAGAAAACATCCAGTCCCTACTGAACATAGGATAATAACGTTCTAGACACTCATGCATACGGAGATGGTAGAGTACATCAATTCCCATGTAAGATTTCAGCTCTTTCTAGGTCAATACGTCGTCTGTGGACTCTCGCTTTTGTACTAATCAAGGCCATATAGCTACAACCCAACTCACATGCATTGACCTACGGAGATGGATTCAGCGGCTCCCACAAGCTCAAACAAAGCCTTTGTCGTTTTATGAATACTCAATTTTCTCCTCACTCTGCACTCTGCCCCTCCCATCTTGTCGTTACATCTGGCGTCAGTAATGCACTCGAATGTTGCGCCTGGGCTTTAGCGGATCCCGGGGATTTTGTTATGGTCGGACGGCCGTATTTTAATGCATTTAGGGGGACTTTTGGAACCCGGCCAGGGTAAGGAATATCTCTACATTTTCTGGTAGGACCGAGCTTATGATTTCAGAGTCCAGCTTCTTGAAGTCGAGTTTGGAGAAATAGATCCATTCAGCATGGCCGCAATCCAACAGTACGAAAGAGCACTTACTGAAGCGAAAAACAGAGGCTTACGGATTAACGCTCTTGTATTGTGCTCACCACATAATCCCCTTGGTTTGTCTTCTCGACATACTTGAGAAAAGTCGATCTGTCTTTACTGATAGGAAGCCTAGGACGTTGCTACCCTGAAGATGTTTTGAAAGAATACTTGAAGTTCTGCTCGAGGAATGAACTTCACCTTATTTCCGACGAGATCTACGCACTATCTGTCTGGGATAACCCTCGTCTTCCCGATGCGCCAGGTTTTAAGTCGATTTTGTCTATAAACCTGGAGGGAATCATTGATCCAAGCCTCGTACATACTCTATGGGGCTTAAGTAAGGTATCGCATTCCTCCCCTTCACCCTAAGCGGAACTGACAAATTTGAGTAGGATTTCGGTGCAACCGGACTGAGGATTGGATGCTTGGTTAGTCAGTCGAATAAACTACTCTTAGAGGCTGCCGAGGGCATTTCGTGAGATTACCTGACCTACTTATAGGGGGAGAAGACACTAACCAACGTTCACCAATTAGCCTCTACAATATTCCATCCAGTCTAGCAGATCAGGTTACTACATCGCTCTTGCTAGATGACAGCTTCATGACAAAGTATATCGCGATCAATAGGACACGCTTGGCTAACAGCTATCATTTTGCGACAAAGTTGCTACGGTCCCATGGAATTCCTTATTTTGAGTGCAACGCTGCTTTCTTCATTTGGATTAACTTAGGCGCCGTGGTAAAGGATGCCACAGCCGACGATATTCTTGTAAGGCTCCGAAAAGAGAGAATCTACATTGCGGCTGGGGAACATTATGCGGCGGAAGAAACAGGATGGTTTCGGCTGGTTTTTTCGCACCCGCTGAACGTTTTGGAAGAGGGACTGAAGCGGATAATTAAGTCTATTCAATAAAATTTCTCAATTGATTTAATTCGGTCGATATTGTTTTGTGTATTAGGTCTCATCCATGTAAATATACATGTAACGGTGGTGAATCAAGACACTAGAATGCTTCTATTTTTGCGATATGGCGGCATTGCCCACTTCGATAGAATGAAAATGTGGCGACGTCTTGAGACTATTTTCCATTGATCAGTGTCCCACCGATAGATCAGTATCAATATAGAAGAACGAACGGATCGGAAAATATTACATGGACTTTAGACCGGACGACCGGAACTATGTCAGGCAAAGTCATAGGATTTAGTCGTACCTTTTTCGACAAGGAATATACCCAATGTAACAAGCTAAACACGATCTGTCTACTGCATTAAAAAGGGGATTGATTTCCCTCCAATTAAGATTTTTCATACATATATGGGCAATTCAAATCGGTTGATTTCTACCCCGACACCGCCGTATATATTTACATATTTAATAACAGCTCTGAACCTCTCCAATCTCTTCTCGAAGGAAGGTCTAAGAGCTGCTCTAGTTTTGCTACCACAGACAAAACTTCAAGTCTTCTGTTCAACATGAAGGGCCGTTTCCCCGCCCTTTTGGCCTTGGCTTGTGCTATCGCCAGGGCTTACCCGACACTAGCTGATACCACGTCCAAATCCAAACAAGTTTCCTCTGTGGTGATATTCGGGGACAGTTATACCGACGACGGCTTGACCCAGTATAGGCCTGATTCAAACGGGGATGTTGGAGAACCGGTATGTGACCCTTATCTTCGCTCTTCCTAAGTTGACTAATAATGGCCAACATTGGAAACTTAGGGCACGGTCTTGTCAACCGGGGGTCGCGTTTGGCCTGAGTATGTGAATCAATATTCCGGCGTGAATATCTACGACTACGCACGATCTGGAGCAGTCTGCGACTCCACCTTCTCTCCAAAGTCGCGGAAAGGAGTGAAACAAGATCAGATTCCGTCCTTCCTCGCAGATAATGAATATGTCAACAGCAGCACAGGTCAGGGGGTGCTTGACAACCCCAGTGCTGAGACTGTCTATGCAATTTGGATAGGCACAAATGACCTTGGAAACGGTGTCTTTTTCACAGATAGTCAGCCAAAGGGAATGCCCTTAACGAACTACACCGATTGCGTCTTCGAGCAGCTTGATCGTTTATATGATATTGGCGCACGAAGATTCCTCGTTATGAACATCGCCCCCTTGGATCTTACCCCCCAATACGCTCTTCCAGAAAATGACGGAGTCGCCAGTTCGAGATACTGGACAGATAAGAGCCAGTTCAATTCGAATCTAACACAAATCAGTGAGACCATGCGGGAATATAGCATATTAGTCAACGCGATATACAATTACCAGATCCCATATGAGCTCAAGATCGCGAATAGGTATGCGAAAAGCCAATTCGCTCTTTTTGACGTCCATTCTCTGGTAAGGCTATACTACTTCAAACAACAGCGATCAATTCTCCTCTAACTACATCTTAGATGTCTGATATCTGGAATCGTCCGTCCGTCTATCTCAATGGGACAGTGCCGCTGAATGTTACTGGGTATGCTGCTGGCTGTCCAACATCTGTTTGTACTTCGAAGTCAAGCTGGGATAGTTATATGTGGTACGATGAGCTACATCCTTCCGAACAAACTGATCGTGTTATCGCAAGGGAGTTTGTGGAAGTCCTTAAGGGAAAGAGTAAGTGGGCTACGTATTGGCAAGACTCCTAGGTGCAACTTTACGAGTTTCTACTTCAAGTTGACCTCGATCAATCAGAGAGTTCAATTTTATTGTAAAGCCTTGTTTAGCTTACCATTTGTTTGTCTGGCTGTTTACCATTCGGATCTAGAATGAATAAAATATATCAAACACACAACGATAGACCTCATTCTAAGAGCGTACGAAAAGGGTTAAAAAGAGGATCATAAACAGACAAGCGTTTACAGTAGCCATAGTAAAGACAATCGAATCTATGATTGTCAAATATGGGTTTAGAAAACCCCCGTCGGGTAACAATAGCCCGATCCCCGTTTCCATCCCCGCAAACTACCCCGCTAAATTATGCTATCCAATATAGTACTTCCCTAAATATGACTAGTAGGTCCCTGTTAGCTTGCCCCTCTCCCTCGAAGGCTCTGCAGGCGGGTAACACGGGAGGCGAAATCGGACTTTGTGTGAAACTGAACAGTATGTATCCTAATAATGATCGACTTTTTGGTTAGCCGGTGCTATTGCAGATCAATACCAAGTTCGAGTGCATAAACGCAATTAGATTAAGGCGGAGGTTTGGTTTCTCTGCGTCTCTAGTCCCGTTGATGCCCATTGAGCCTAGGGCGTTGTGGAGGCGTAGATGTGTTTTTATTCGGTAGCTCACCGGACATCCGGATCTGCTAAGACAGACCTAAACATTCTCGATTCGTGTCGGAAAGCAGAGTTATAGCGATGTTATATTTGGGAATTTTCAAACACAATGTACATTTATATTTGCATTCTCGGTATTCATGTCCGTGTGATTTTGTAGCGTGAGAGATTGGAGCTTCCACCAATGCGTATGGAACCATTTCTCTCTAGCTTAGAGTGTACTAGGTTATATCTCGAAATAGCTCAAGGTTCATCTTTTTGAAAATCCCCTCGCGGCCGAATGGAACATATCAGAAGTGGTTATTGGTGGACAATATCTTTCCACTTTTAACGATCCTCTTCGAGAGAAATACGAAATGAAGAGACGAATATTAGTCAATCATAGCACGAGCGGAGTAAAAGCCTTTTCGGTGAGAGGATTAAATGGTGCTCATCGGCTTAGAATTGACAATGTATCTGGTTCGGTGAAGACAAATGCCAAGTTCTCCTTCGCGCGGCCCTTGGACAGTCAATATGATTTTCAACGTTCTTCTACTTTGTGGCATAATTGCAAATGCCATGCCAATTCAGGAATCCGGACCTTGGTCCAAGGTACCTGAGTTCACAAATATATTTGCCTTGTAAGTGGCCTGGTTCTAGAGGTTCTACAACTATCTCACAGATTATTCTAGTGGTGACAGCTACACGACAGTCGGTTTCCAGTACAGTGGTTCACAGCCAAATGCCTCGAATCCCATCGGGAACCCCGCTTTACCTGGAAAGACAACCTCCGGCGGGTATAACTGGGTCGACAACCTGGTTACCGAGTACAACACATCACTTGTCCTTGCATACGACTTCGCGATAGCGGGAGCTACGGTAGACGGGGATCTCATCCCGCCCTACCAACCCGCCGTGAAGTCCTTTGTCCAACAAGTGGAAATCTTCAAAGATCACTACTCGAATACCTCCGGTACCTGGGACCCGCAAAATTCGCTCTTCACGGCGTGGTTTGGGATGAATGACATCCCGAGAGGCGAAAACCTGACCGACTGGACAACGATCTTTCGAGAAACTATCCAGCAATATCTCACCCAAGCTCAGGACCTCTATGATGCTGGCTCCCGGTATTTTGTCTTCCTAGAGGTCCCGCCCCTCCAGCGCACGCCTCTGATAAGCCAGGGATCGGCAGCGGTGCTGAATGCCACGATTTTTGACGTTGACAGATTCAACAAAGCAATTCGCAAGGGAATTAGAGAGTTTGCGCACCACAATAGAGAAGCCACGGTGTGGATTCTCAACACTACCAGTGTCTTCGACAAGGCCCTCGACAATCCGACTGCGTATGGGGCTCCAGATGCGGCCTGCTACAATTCCAATGGAGTTAGTTGCCTCTGGTGGAATAATTACCACCCTGGTCAGGCCATTCAAAAACTTGTCGCCGAGAGTATCTCGAGATTGATCAAGAGTAGGGTACATGCGATATAATGTGAGGGGAAAAGTAGAACACCTGGGAGTGATAATTGCAGAAATATTGAAGGAGAGACATTATATATCGTCCGAGTCCCGTTATATGGTCCGTTAGTTATGGTGAGACTTGTTCAATGCTCATATCTACCTCGGATATTGTAAGGATAGATAGAATAATGAATAACAAGAATTAATTGATTTGGTTGGTTATTATAGCCCTCGAAAAACCAGCAATGCAAATTAAAAGAGTCGAGTTATTGACAATTGGCGTGACAAGTATGAAGGACGATGATTTCTGAGGTAAACACACGTGATTCGCCCGCAACCCACTCGAGGCCAGTCCGCGGGCCGCCCTTCTCTCTACAGTCCAGCTAAATTCACAATGGTGTTGCAACTGCATGTATGGGGGCCGGCCTTTACTCTGCCCTCAATTGAGGCGCAATGCCTCGCAGCTATTGCTTACTGCTCATTAGCCCTCCCCAAGGGCTCCTGGGAGCTGGTGGCGACCAGCGACCCCTCGGTGTCTCCTACTGGTGAGTGACGTGATGTCTCTGCTCGGCTTTCCCGACCGGAGCAAACAGGAACATCGGAATCGCAACGCAATGAGCTGACTGAATTGCTTTTTTTTATTGTCTAGGTGAGCTGCCCGCATTGCAAGATGGCTCGACGTGGGTGAGCCGCTTCCGCAATATCGTGGATTACCTACGCCAATACTCCAACGGAGCATGGGATCTGGACTGCGACCTTGACGAAACAGCTCGTGCGGATAGCATCGCGTACGTGAAACCGCCAGCTTCAACCTTTGGATTACCAAGCGCTCAAGGGAGCAGAAAGAAATTAGCTAACATCTGCGCCCGCTCGCGCTGCGTTCCAGCTTCTCCTCCTTCATCGAATCCCGTGGCCAAGTCCTCATCGATCTCTCCCTGTACGTGAGCAGCCAGAACTACTATGGTAACACATCACCCGCGTACGGAAATCTCCTCCAATGGCCGAACCAATGGATCCTCCCGCCGAAGCTGCACGGCGCCGCAAAAGCCCGCACCGAACACCTAGGTCTCTCGTCGCTGGACCTACAAGCGATGGAAGAGCAGCGCCAACGTGAACACTCAGCCGCAGTCGCAGCCGGCCGAGTCCCCAAGAACCTGATCGCACGCCCACGCGACACGGTGTCAAAATTGCTCGGCCGGACGGCGCAGCAGAACCATTTCCGCTTGGAGGCGCTGACGGGCGAGTTCTTCGAGCCACTGGAGGCTATGCTAGGCAAGAAGGCGTACCTTTTGGCCAAAAACGAGGATGACCCTCTATCCAGCCTGGACTGCATTGCGCTGGGATATCTTTCGCTCGCGCTAGTACCCGAGCTTACCTTCCCATGGCTGCGAGATGCTATGCGGACTAAGAGTCCGCAGCTTGCGGCCTATACGGAACGAGTGCGGCGACGATGTTTCGGACAGGCGCCTGTGGAGGTTGCGCATGCCTTTTCGCCGCAGTCTGCGCCTTCATCGCCGCTGCCATGGAGGACCCCGAGCCGTATCTCCGTCGCGGCTGTCGGTAGCACACTCCTCGATACGCTGGCTGATTCAACCCCACTCCTCCGGAATCTGCGCAGATTTAACGGATTGAAGGCGGGTGCCCAGTCCCCAGATGCTGGTCTGTCGGGACTAGAACGGACGGTCGTGTCTCAGGCCGCCGATGCTGGTAAAAATGACCTCTACGCGTCCGTTGCGACAGTCGTGGGCGGAGTTGCCGTGTTGGTGGGTTACATGTTCCACATTGGCATGATCACTCCCTTAGTAAGTGGCCAAGAAGAGTACGAGGAGGAGGAAGAAGAGGAAGAAGGTACCGAGGAGTTCATGGACGCAGGTTCCGCGACGGACTTCCTCAATATGGGCAACATTGGCGACTTGAGAATTCCAGGCTCATCATAAAGCGAACAAAAAGCACCTCTGTATGGTGCCATTCTCATCCCTTGGCCGCAGGAGTGGACAACCGGATTCTTGTTTTACTATTTCCAGCGAAGAGCGAGAGGATCAACAATGTACTGTACAATAGACTACCATTTACATCGAGCAATATGTACGTTTCCAAGAATATTTACAACCCACATCCAAGACACCCAAAGCGAAAATCCTCCCAATCACTCCCCTCTTCTCTACTACTGTCTATTCTCATCCGAAAGACTCCACGTATTAGTCCCTTTCTTCGAAAAACACGGCGCAGCAACCCACTGCACACCCGGTCCATCCCTAAACGCCTCCTCCATCTCAACACCCCACCTCAACGCCCCATCCTCATCCACAAACCAACCCAAACGCGTCCGCAAATGCTCATAATCTTCCGGCGCAAGCCGTCCAGCCTGGATCTCGCGTACGACTTGAAGCAAGTTCGCACTACCAGCGATGAGAACCAGCACGTCACCCAGACACTCGACGTTGCGGACTAGTCGGCCAAAGTAGCGTTTCTGCAGGATGGCGACGATGAAGGTCGTGAGGATGAGCCATGCCATTATTCCGACGCTTAGCCAGACTGCGACGGCGTTCATTTGGAGTAGTTCGACGCGTTGGGAGACCTGCGCCGCCACTGTCCTATTTGTGTGCGAGATCGGATGGATGGTATCCTGGTATGCCGTCGCCTTGGAACCGCTCATATAACCATTAACATACTCGACGGCGGGGGCAAGATCAGCCGGGAGACTGGCGTTAATTGTCTGATATGCCCAGCCACCGGTATTCATGGAGATGTTACTACCGACGAAATGCTGGAAGAAAGTCGTGAATGTCTTTTGCGCGAGCGTGACGAATGTGTCCGCATCTAGGAGGGCGTGAGGGTTCTTTTTGGCCATTGAATACATCGCATATGTCATGAAATCCATGTTTAGGCCCTCCATTTCGTCGCGGATATTGAAGGTGTTGTCGTCGAGGCTTTCGACTGTGTAACCGAGGGTGTGGGAGACGCCGGAGATGCGTTGGAGATCGGCTGCGGTTAAGAGGGTGCTCATGAAGATGTGACCGTAGCTGAATATGATGGTTAGGATCCAATTTAGGGTAACTTTGTATGGAACTGTGGGGATAGGCGAGGCTTACCTGATTGTCACGTTGAATTCGCTATAACCAGCACGCAAGTCAGTGAGGGAGCCATTGTGGGCGACAAAGTTATCTGTAAAGGCCCCCGTCGCGACCTTTGGTGAACTTGTGATGTTGAACGATTGAATCTCGCCGCTTGACGGATCGACGGTGACACTGGCATCTGCAGTCTCGATGATAGGCTCGCAGCTGAACAAGGAGATCGACGGTGGCGAAGGGAACAACGGCCCTGCATCCACCTGGCTCGTCACACTATTGTTGTTCACCTTGATTCCCGTGATTGCATCACCATAGAACCACTTAGCCGTGAAATTCTTCTGCCAAGAGGTTGGCGAGAAATAGTCAAGGGCGTCGTTGGGAGACCAATATCCAATTGCCACGCTGCCCATGCGAGAATCGGCGCTCCCATTGCCGCAGCAAGTAAGCATAGCTGGATTGACAAATGCAGTAGTGCAGCCAAGACATTCTGATTGGTTCTGCCCTGGCAAGAGAGGTGTTATACTGCTCGGGAACTGCCTGCTCTTATATGTGTTACCTAGCTGATAACCGCCGTTCACGCCGTCTGGGATTGTGCTTTTATTCCAGACGGTATGATTAGAAAGGTCTGTGGCTGTTGTCCATGAAGAAAGATTTGTAAGGACTTGTATAGGAGGCGGGCTGCATTCAATCCGCCCCCTGATGGCAGGCGTGTTGAACGTGACGTTAGTTTGCGACGCGGGGCCTAAACTGTCAGCTTGACTGGCACCGAGCTTGGCAAGAGACTCTGAGCTTGAGATACTGCTCATATCAAGAGGGACAAAGCTCCAGCCATCCTTGCTCCATGCTGGCTCTGAGCCGTTGAGAGCTAGCTGAACGATAGCAGTGTACATGTAGTAAGAAGAGAGGTTCTGGTAGAGAGTTTCGAGCACGGCGGTGGGATAGTTCATGGAAGCGCCGGGGTACATCGATTGCTGTGTCTCATAGATGAAAGGAATCTCACGGAGCTCGAGATTGCGCTGCAGTGTCATAGGATTAGTGATGACACCAGTTCCGCGATCGAAAAGTGCAGACATGGCAGTTGTATCTATAAGGAGTCAGGAAGTTGCAAATAAAGAAGATGGTGTAAACAAACGTACAAATCGGGGATAGAGTAGATCCCAAAGTGACCAAGAAAAGCAGCCACTGTTTGTTAAACGCCGCCTTGCCAGCAGCCCAAAACCAATATGATGTTTGGTATGAGAGATCAACACCTTGTTTATATGGCGGATCGTGTTTTGCCATGGAGAGATATGGCTGCAAGCGACGAAAGTTCTCATCCATTGCACTCCACCATAGACCAATTCCAACCGCAAGAATAGTTGGAATCATCGAGAAGGGGGCAATTGAGGACATGCTACCGCTGAATAAGGAAACATTGAACTGATAAACAAAGGCTTTTTGATACAAGTCGGATCCTTCGGCGTAATGGTAAAGTACGCAAACGGCAACAACCATAGCCACCAGAACAACAACCATGCCAATGAGTGCCGGTAAACGGAGTAGTCCAGGTGTTCCATTTTTGGACTGGGCAATTTCCTCGGTTCTCGCTTGATCGGGGTGGTTTCTAGACAATCCTTGGGAGTCTGTGTAGAACCATTCGCCGCCCAGTCTCTTCTGGAGATCATTGCTTGACGGCTGCCTTAGAGACTGGAAACCAGACCTTGCTCTTGAATTCTGCGTGACCAAGTACGCGACTCCGGCAGTCGTTGCGGGATCTTTGGTCAAGTTTAGTGGCCTGTGATTCAATCGCGAGGCGCACCACACGACGAGCAACAGCAAGAAACAGAGACTAAAGAGAGTTCCCAAGGCAACTGCAGGACCAGATTGAACCACGACTCGGGTTTCGACCGCACGGATCTGAGCCTGCATCGGGACTTTCTTGGCGGCATTATACTGGCTTAGAGCTGACTGGATGACTTCCCCGAAGTAGCGCTGCTTTGCTCTCGCTGCAGAGGACACTATGTCTGGGTCATTGACAAGCTTGGTCATATTGTAGTCGTACAGGGCGCCAAGGATAACGGATGCTCCTCCCATCATCGAAGGAGACGAGATCATATAGCTGTTCCATTCCGAGGTCAAGGTCATATCCTGGAACAAGGTGGTGTTGATAAGCGTTTCCGGGATTAAGACTTTATTCTGAATGAAATCGGTTTCGTTGAAAGAAATCTCCGGCTCGTCCCCTGCCAATGCAACCGTGACCAAGATATTGGCCATATAATACTTGGTACTGCAAAGTTGAGCGACATATCTGCTGGGGTTTGTTACCGACGGCCATGGCTCAGTTGCAATGATGATCTCACGTCCATTACATTCAACTGTGCGATTTGACGAGGAGAATTTTTCGCTCACGAAAAGGGTTTCATCAGCGTAGAAGAAGGTCGAAGTATTGGACCAACTGGCGCCACCAGTTGTGAAAAGATCTTGCGTTGCCGAAAGTCCATACTTGCACCCATCAGCAGAAGACCAGATGATGGAGACGTTTTCCGAGTTTGCGTTCTCGGAAACACTGTTCATTTCAGTGCAGCTCAGCTCGCTCTTGAACATCGTGGTCTCCGCCTTCCATGTCTGCTGAGAGCTCGTCGGTAAGGAGCCGATTGCTCCATCTTTGAGACTAGTGGGCCAAAAGGGTAGAATTGTATAATTATCCGTAATCCAGGGTGAAGTTGAGACATTTTGAAGAAGATTTGCGATGGTACGAAAGTGCGTCGTCTGATCCATATCGATAGGAAGGGGCGAATTGGACACGGGGGAGTAACGCAAGAAGTCAGCCGTATGAGGGACGATTATCTCTTCCGAGTATAGATAGGCAGAAGACAGCGGAGAAATTGCCAGAAATCCAACAATGTTGATCAACGATGCGCAGATCAATATCCAGCTTCGCCGGCCATACTTCTTCTTCGCGAATCCTCGGTATAACGTAATCCACCAGGGGCTCGGTGTTTCCAGAATGCTCGTCGACGCCTTCGCACCCTCAGGTCGGGCTAAGCGGGCATAGGGCTCGGTACGCTTAACATCGTCGAATAACATGGCAGTCAATTGAATCCATAACACGGTGATCGCGGTCGGACTGTACCGCCAGCCGAAAAGCAAAGCAGAGGAGCCATCATCAGGCCCTAGTCCATAATTTGTCGAAGATTTCCACCAAAGTAGGAACGTTACTAGCACCAAACCAAAGGTCACGATACTCAGCACGCCCATGAAGTAATGTCGAAACGTGTAAGGGATCCAGCCCGCTACCAGCGTCTCTCTTGTCTTCTTCTCAGGGACCTTCGCTTGTACAGATTGGCGTGCATTTCCACCCGTGGTATTCTGGCTAGAAGTATCTCCTTGATTACTTCCATCCCGTAGAGAGGAGCGACTCGGGCGCACAAGATGAGAGAAATAAGACTTTGTGTTGCCCAGTAATTTCCGATCTTCGTTCGGACTATACTGCCTCGCTGCCATAATTAGACCAGCAACGGACACAGTATATGCCCCGAATGGCCTCGAGCCTCAACGTATGCCCTGTATAAGGCCGCAAAATATATTCAAACTCATAATAAGGGCCCAAGTCCCCTTATGTTTATAATAAGCCGCAGGGTCTGCGGGGGTCCTAGAACCCTACATGAGTCACGCAAAAGCGATCAGGGATGAACTGCAGCGGGAGGGGCAGTGACACCCTCCGCTGTCCCACCATAGCGAGCGATACCATGATAGCCAATGATAGGCGGTCTTTAGACGCAGTCTTGCCTGCAGATTAGCGTTGGCCGCAGGATCGGCGGCGACGGGCTGCATTCTGGCCCCCATAGTCCAGGGCCAACTTGGTTGCCATTCGTCGTCAAGCATATCGCCCCCATCAATCTTCTGCACCTCTTTCCCTCCTATATCATTATGGAAATGAGCAATATCCACTGCTACTGCAGGTAAGGTTACAGTCGTGGAGCGCAAATTTGCAGCTCTGTGTTGATCGATGCTTAGCTAGACCCGCTGCCAGGCGAGGCCAAAGGGGCGGATACTAGACCTCTCAGGGACGGTACCTTAGCGCCCAAGCTTGGATCGCTAGGATTCTTTGTGACTGCTTACAAAAAGCTTGCAGATATTGCGCAGAAGCGTGCAGCTAGTATAAACGACCAGTGTCTCGAATAAGCGCTTAATATGACCAGGGTTTAGAATCTGGATGCGTCGGGGGCGAAACCGTTGAGTCCGGCCCCGGGGGCCGGCGCTTTGAATTCTTGTATAAGAGGGACTGGAAGTCACACTCTGGAGATACATTTCTCAAGCCTTTAATTCTAATTTTGATTGCCCCTCTTCCTGTTATTATTGTTCGCTATTAGCTATTGGCAGTTGTCCATTTGTTTCTATTTCATCTGATTTGATATGCCAACCCCCCAACCCCCCACGCGTTCCACAGTGTCCTCGACTTACCCGAATGTTGTATGACTACCATTTATCCTACCTGGCATGCAAGGTAATACAAGCCTTGCTTCGGGTCTACTAGGTCCATGTTTCAGATATTTATGCTTGTTGGTGTACGGTATAATCCTTACGTCGTCATCCACTATGCACAGACCTTTGGAGATTATCTACCCACAACTTGGGATGATATGATAATCTGCATCACACCAAGTTCCGAACAAGTCTAGGCTTACGACAAATACAAGCTAGCATATAGCATGAGAGGTAAGGCAATTGACAAATGTGTTTTACTGATAAGGGTACAGGGTCAATGATCAGAGAACCCCGAACTGGTTTACAAAGACAACACCATTCTCCCAAAGTCTTGAAGGAAAAAAAAGGTCAATATCAACTAATAACTGGTGTGGTATATGTACAGAGAATCATAAAAATGGGAGGGAGAACCAGCATAGATCATGGGTCACAAAGGATATGTATGGCGCTTCCCGGGACCAGGCACGGAAAAAAAGAAGAGAGGATAAGCGGCCAGTTACCACCATGGAAGCGGAACCAAAGGACAAAAGGTGCGCGTTGGCCAGAGCATTCACCACACCCTTTGCCTGGTATGAGGAATAAGAATCATTTGCGCGAGAAGGGTAATGAATTGAAGATCACGCTGACATCGGAAGAGTAGGGTTGAGCATTTAAGCGAAGTCGAGGTTGACGACAAGACGGATGGCCTCGACCATGACGTTGCCACCAATGCCGTTGATGTCGGTCTCGGCAGAGGTGTAGGCATTCTTGACAGTACCCATGCCATTGGTGATGGAAGAGCAGCTAGAGCCGTCGTGCTGGCAGATCTGCATACCCTGGATTTCCTTGCCGGCGTTCTGGGCCTGGATGCAGGAGACGTCCCAAGAGGTGAAGTTGGGGGCCTCGCGCATGGTGAACTCACCCCAGGTGGCGGCGTAGCTACCGTACTGGCTGAGAGGGGTATCGTCACCCTTCCAGGCAGCCCAGCCACCGGTGGACTCGGTGTCAATGGCAACGTACTTGACCTCGCCCTTGGCAAGGGTGAAAGAGAGAGCCTTGTTGGGGTGGAAGAAACCGTCCATCAGGCCGTTGGGGCCCTTCTTGTTCCAGACAATGACGGTCCAGTCATCAGTCTGGCTGCCCTCGAAGCGGACGACGTGACGGTACTGGTTGGCGACGCCCTCCTCGACCTCAATGATGTTGCTACCCCAAGGGAGACCAGTGTTACCGGTCCACTCAATGCCGAGAACCTCGATCTTGTAGTTGCTACCACCGAAGCCGTCGCGGGAGTATTGGCCATTGGCGGGGAGGTCGGACCAAGAGCCGCTGGAGCCAGGAGCAGCAGTGTGAGCGGGGACCACGGACTCGATAGCGCTGGGGGCCTGAGTCACGGCGGCAGCGGCGGTGGTGGTGGGAACCTGAATAGTGGAGGTGGAAGAGGAGGTGGTGGTAGCCTCGGCGACATCACCAAACCAGTTGTTGATCCAGGTCTCGAGAACACCGTCGATGGTGGCAGTCACGACCTCGGCGCGCTTCTCAACAGCCTCGATATCAACCTTGGGGTGAGCGTGACGGCGGTCATGACCGTGAAGACGGGCGACAGCAGAGCCAGCGGTCAGAGCCGTAGCCAGGAAGAGGGAGTTCTTGACGAGCATTTTGGAGGTAGGAGGGATGGATGGATTCTAAAGGATTGGAGAGCGAAAAAAGAAGGGCTTTGAAAGAGTGACAGAGCGAGACGCTCGAAACCGGAGAGAGCAAAAAAAATGAATGTGGGTGTGGAAGGAGAGGAAGGGGGAAGGAAGATGGGGGCGTGAGATGGGTAATAAGATGGGGGAGGGAGATGGTTGTGTGGTACAGAGTGGTACGGGGGGTGTATGGTAGACCCTGCAGTTTAGGGGACCAGAACTTCCACTGGAAGGGCCCTGGTGGCTTGTTCTGCCCTCCACGGACTAGCAGGTTGAACTCCATCCGCCACGCTAAGACCGCCAGAAATCCGCCGGGCAAGAAACTGTAAAAATCGGGCATCAGGGGCTATTGAGTGGTGATTGGTCGGTGCCTGGTGGTTCCTGGGGCCTGATGGCAGCCACGAGAGATTCTAATTGGGTGACGCTAGACTGGGCCGAGACCCTCGAAAAGAGAAAAAAAAAAAACAAGGGGAAAAAAGGGTCGAGACGGTGGGTAATTCATACTTGGGCTGATTATGGGGAGTCCGTATTCAAGGGAAGTATATGATACACCCTTGATCTTCCCTTCTCATAATCTCACCCAGTGCCGGCCCCTTTCTTGCCTTACCGCGTATATTTGGTATCTTTGGGGACAATACGGACACAAAATGACTTGCTGATCCATTTGGTACCTGCAGAACAATCACTGAGAGGAAACTGGTGATAATCTTCCGACCGTAGACTCGTCGTACTTCTATACTCGGCACACGCTATCGACATTCTTCGTGTCAAACACGTGTTTCCATCGGAATCCCCGTCTGGAATGCTATACTATACGATACTACTACTATTTTACTATGTTCGTACTTCAGTATGACCAGTTCCTCTCTGCTTTTCCAAGACCTCCAAGACCACCACCTTGGCCCTTTCCCCACACAGGCCAATCGGTGTAGTCTTCCAGGTCTGGAGCCCATCTCGAGCTGACGTGGCGGTCGAGACATTCTCCTGTCCGTATAATTACTTGTATGTGTATTCTACTGTATGCACAGAACCTCGTTCCTTCTTGCGGTGATGATATGAAATGTGTACAAGATCAAAGCTCGACACGTTTCATCACCAAAATAGACCTATCCCACCCGCCCTCGACAACTCATCAACTCTTTCTACGCGCCCGACCAGAAACCTGCCCGACCAGTCATTCTTCAAATGTCTACCATCCATTGTAAGTACGAAGTGTACTCTGTGTGTTATTACGATATTCCACTGATCCCGGTCTGGCCGTCTGATCCACTAAACGATCGCCCAACGGCAGCGATGTGTGTGTCGGTGGCTCCATCCCTGACTCGGCAAATGGGTCCAGTCCCTTTGCCCTGGAAGGGTCTTGCAGGGTCTGGCTGGGAATGGGATCCATAATGGACAGGTACAGCCACCAGGTTCAGCAGGCTCCGTCTTTTTGCCTCTTACCTTGTTGGCAGAACAACGGTGTGTCGTCTATCGTGTTCTCCGCCAGTCTGGGAGACAATTTGAGAATCTTCCGGACTCCACCGGGTACGTCGGGTGGACCGGTGAAATGGGATCCATCAAGGGCTCCAGAATGGCGATTTTCTTGTGGAAAATCCCTTGTGTGACTGGGTCAGTGCTGGGGTCTGGAAGCGTCTAACAAGGTGAGGTTGTAGCCGCTGATCTATCGTGGTGGCTTACAAAGTACGTAGTATACAGAAGAATTGAAGAACTGCTAGGATTCAGTTGGTGCTCTTACGACCACCAAAGATAGATCAATGGAACTGAGTATTCTGATTCTTCGGTTCTTCGACAAGAACTTCTGCAGTTAATTAGTAAGTACCCTCAGTCCAATCTTCTGCTGCATGGTACTTTCTAATTTGCAGCTTGGTGCAAGGGTCCATAGGGTTCTCCTCACGTCGAGTGAACCTCACTCTCACCACTAACACAATGACATTCTTCTACAATTACATCCGGATACATAATACCTCTCGAGTCGGTCGAGATCCAAGGTTGATGGTAACCTGCACGGGAGACGAGCCTTGGTTGACCCTGCGATCGGCGGGACTCTGAAACGATCGGGGATTTTCTGTCTTGCCCGTGCCTGGACTAAGAGAGTCTCTGCTTTTTTGTTTATTTTTATACAACCGAGTTAGACGTGATCGTTGAAGATCAAAGCCACACGGGCGACTAAGAATCAGACCATGACCAGAGCGGCAAAGTGCAATATATTGCAATAAGAATAGAACGTCATTCATTAACTGTGGGGACGTTACTATTTACAGCGTCATGGCTTCGGCCGATCAACATCGACACCAGCCAGGCTCCCACTCGAACAGACCACCATACCTCAAGGGACAAGTCCAGCCCTCAGAGCTCGCAAGCCGACTCTTCCTCTGGTCACCCTCTTCCATGATCCCAGAGAGAACCCTCTCGAAGTGAACGAAGAAATCACTTCTTCTCCAAATCCACACCCCCCTCAAACGCCGCACCCCCAGCCTCCGCATCCAACCTCACACTCTCATCCAACCCACAAACCCTAAACAACATCTGCGGCGTCAACTCCTCATCCAGCCCAGGCAACCCCAACCTCTTCAACTTCTCCAACCCCTCCCGCATAGCCGTCAACGCCGGCCCAATCGTCGCAAACGGAAAGATAATCATCTTGAATCCAATCTCTTTGGCCTCCTGCGCCGAAATCGCCGGCGTAGACCCATGCTCAACCATATTCAACACCAACGGCCACGGCGCAAGATCACGCACCGCCTGCGCAGCCATCTCCCGCGAGGAAATCCCCTCGAGGAAGCCCACGTCTGCGCCTGCGTCCCGCGCAGCGCGGAGTCGAGTTAGACTCTCGTCGTATCCGAAGGATTGGAGCGCGTCTGTGCGGGCGATTATCACGATGTCGCTGCCGAGTCGGTGTCGTGCTTGCACCGCGGCGCGGATCCGTGTTGTGTAGGTCGTCGTGTCGACGAGTTGTTTACCACCCAGATGGCCGCATCGTTTCGTTTGGACTTGGTCTTCGATGTGGAAGGCTGCGACGCCGGAGCGGGCGTATTGCTCCGTCGTGCGGGAGACCATGATCGGTCCGCCGTAGCCGGTGTCTGCGTCGGCGATGAGTGGGGTGCTGGGGGAGAGGTTGGCGATCATTTCGGCGTTGGCGCGCATATCGTTGAGTGTGCAGATGCCTAGGTCTGCTTGGCCGTGGACTGAGGCGGCGGTTCCTGCGCCGGTCTGCGTGGGGGAATGCTGTTAGCTTGGAACAGCGACGGCTTGGGTTTCTCTCTGCTACTAACCATGTATAGGGCGTCAAAGCCAGCTGCGAGGGCCATTCGCGCAGATAGACCATCGTATACACCCGGGGCACACACGAAGCCATTGGGGTCTGCGAGGGTCTTGCGCAGATTGGTTGCACCTGAGCTCAAAGACATGATGACGTCGTTGAATACCGGACTGACAAGAAGATAGAAGAACTAATCAAGGACTCGAATGCAGAGTCAATGCGGAACGTATAACGAGAAGGTCTGTCTGATTCTCTCAGAGCTTTGAAATAACCCGATGACAGGCTACCATCAACCCATTATATACCCCGTCTACCAGCTTCCACGTGTGTTACCCAGTAAACCACCACATTTTTTTCTGCACAACCCCACCAATGAACCCTCCCATCAGTAGTGATACGCACTCTCTCCACCTGCCGTGCCGATGCCGATACCGGGAGTCGATTATGTCATCGCTCTTCGCTCGGTGATAACTCGCTGTCGCCGAACAATCTCTGACCTGCGTGGCGATGTGCTGGATTTTTTATGTAGTGTCTGGTTTCATGCATGAAGCCGTGGTTTATGACCGCCGACACCGGCCTTCGGTAGCTAGTTGTGAAGTGCCGAGTTATCCTGCAGGGATGCAGGCGTAGGGTAAACCTCGGGGTTGTGTGGCTTCCGCGGCAGTGGAAGTGGGGTAATCAAGTCGCAGTAACAGAAGTAGAATAGCAGGTTGAAATGAACATGATTCAGTGATCTAAGGGCGACTGCAGATATGCATCCACTACATGATTCAGTTTATCAATGTCAGATTATCTTATCCTGTCGATATCAGACCAAACACCCAAGCTCTATTCTGACCTGTGATTGGTGGATGGTAGCCCCACCTCGTCGGCCGAATGCTGATGTCAATTTGTATACTTCATTCTACAGAAGGAACAAGATGACAAAATACTCCTCGGACAAAGAAAAGATAGAGCCGAATTAATAATGAAAGACAGATAGCTATAGACCAGAAGAGAACGTTACACTGATTCACATCATCTATATAACTTGCTCAAGTAACCGTGTTCAAATCCACGTTTCACCAACCCTCCCAACCAAGCTTCATATCAAATCCAAAAAACACCCTCCAAAATGCCATTCTTCCAACCAAAAGTCACCCCCCTACCCTCCGGCATTGACCTGCACGGCAAATCCGCCGTGATAACCGGCGCCAGCGCAGGCCTCGGCCTCGAAACAGCCCGGCAACTCCTATCCCTAAACCTGACCACCCTCATCCTTGCCGTCCGCAACGAAACCAAAGGCGCAGCCTGTATCGAAACCCTCCTATCTGACCCAACCATCAAATCCAAGAACCCAATCATCAAACTCCTGCCCCTCGACGTCAACGACAACAACAGCATAACATCCTTCGCCAAAACCCTGCCCCAAACCCTCCCAACCCTCAACATTCTCATCCTAAACGCAGGAATAAGCCGCTTCAAACACACCCCCAGTCCGACGGGCCACGAGGAAACCGTGCAAGTCAATTACCTCTCCAACGCACTCCTGCTAGCAACTCTACTCCCGTATCTAAACGCCAGCGCTGAGAAAACCGGTTCCCCAACCCGGGTTACCTGGCTGGGTAGTCGTATGCACGAGCTTATGACTAGTTTTCCGAAAAAGTCTCCCCTAGCTGGTCCCTATACCTCCGTTCTGGAGTACGTCGATGCTGAGGGTACTATCTCGCCGTACTCGCGGTACGCGGATAGTAAGGTGCTCTGCGCGATGTTCATGTACAGTCTTGCGCCGAGGTTGGATTCCAGCAAGGTTCTGCTGAATATGGTTTGTCCCGGGATGGTGGATACGGGGATTAGTGATTTTTTGCCGATTTATTGGAGGGTTGTTGTTGATCTTGTTAAGGCGTTGAGGGCGAGGAGTGTGGAGGTTGGGGGGTGGTTGGTTGTTAATGCTGCTGTTGTGGCTGGGGTGGAGTCGTATGGGAGGCTTTTGGGGGATAAGGAGGTTCTTGAGTGAGTTTTCATCCCTGGTTATTAGATGGTGGATTGTTCTGTGGGAAGGGGATGGAATATACATGGGATGTTTTATGGCTGACTGTGCTATTTTGGATTAGGGTTTCCAAGTATATTCAGTCTGAGGATGGGAGGAAGGTGCAGGAGAAGTTGTGGGAGGAGACTTTGGATGAGTTGAAGAAGTTTACTACTTTGCCGCGGGAGTTTATATGAGTATGGGGGAAGGTGCTGTATCAAGATGGAGAGAGGGGAGACTGTATGGAGTTTGGTTTTAATTTTTCCTTTGTTTGGTTGCTCAACACAGTTTATCATTTCTCGTCTGTTTGTGCAAGTAATTATGCCCTGAACGCCTTAACCTTAGACACCCTTAAACCTTGATAACCTCTTGGATAAATTGAATTTCGCCTTGAACCCGTGGCTCCTCCCTGACCTTTGGCTCCTCGCTGGGCTTTGGCTTTGGCTTTGGATTGGACTTTGGATTGGACTTTGGATTGGACTTTGGCATGGACTTTGGCATGGACTTCGGTGCCTTGTCCACCGTAGGAGTTTCTGGTGATTTCGTCACCTCAGCCGATTTGGGAACCACGTTCGACTTTAGCGTCTCATTGGACTTGGACTCTTCAAGCATTTGACCAACGTCAAACACCTTCTCTTGATGCTCCGTAGAAAGTTCGAAGGACAACATTTCATCACGCAGAGATCGACAAGGAACAGGGCACAAATCGTCAATTCTGGTATTCCAGTTGTTCCAAAACAGCTCACTGAGGCGACGAGAAGAGCTAAGACCACGGTTCGAAATCAGACGAAGAGCATGTTGGCACCACAGGAACTTCTCCCGATTCCCTAGGCCGATGTAGACCTTGATAGCTCCACTCATGGGGAACATCAACATGCGAATTCCGGAAAGTGTCTTTGTATCATTCGCATAGTACGGGATAGTGCGACAGATCTCATCGGCGTAAAACTCTGACATCCGATGATCCTCGTCGTCGACTGGCAGCTTGTCAGAGCCGCTCTCGGGGGTGAGCGGATAAGATCGAACGAGGGATTTGGCTTTGTAAATCATAGGCTGAATAGTCGCCAGCGCATTCCAGTACCAATGATGCATTCTAGCATTATCGAGCGAGGAGAACCGATACCCGGCACCGAACAATTCCTCTGTTGGAGGCAGCTCGTCGGTTCTGCATTCATCTGGAGCGCACACGAAGAGGCCTCTCGCGTAGCCATACTGAGCATACCACGCGGTGATTCTGTTCTTTTGTTTGATACAATTTTGTAGTAGAGTCTCGCATCCCTCGTGATCACTGGGGGAAATTGAATTCAGGACGGTCGAGAGAGGTCCAAATTCTGCGTAGACTGCGAGCAATTCGGATAGTGGGGTTGAAATGCCGTCGCTTGAACGTTTCAGATATTGGTATTCGTCTTCTGTGATGTTGACTCCCGCGGTCGCAATGATCTGGAGAGAATTAGCACGGGACCATGATATTTATTAGAAATCAAAATCACATACCAGTCGCATCTTCTGATGTTGGTTGTAAATGGCGTCAAGAAGGGGGTTCCGAGGCAGAATATCACGATAGTAACGCAGCAGTGTACTCGTTCCCTGAGTATGGGCCAGCCATGCTCGGAGATCAAATGCACAGCAGTATCCCTAATCCAAATACCACGTCAGATTAGGTTTTTAATCACTCCGAATGTTGTTCTGTCTCTCCTTACCTCCAACTCCTGGAAAATAACGGCAGTATACACAATTTCCGCGTTCCAAGCATTCCGATAAATGTTGTTCTTCACACTCCGAATCGCAGTTCCATACAGGTCCAGACCATAGTTGTACATATGATCATCGTTGTTCATCTTGCCCATGTAAAGACATGACACCGCAGAGATCGCTCTCTCAAGCATATTCGTCTTGTTAGGAAGGGTCGCAAAATTGTAAATCAGGTACTGCCAAAGGTTCAACGAGGAAACCTCCTCGGTATGACTGAAGAAGACATTGGTGAAAGACGAAAAAACCTGTTCGCGCGCTACTGGTCCAGAGGTCACGTTGCTCGGCATCACCAAGGCTCGAACGGGGTCTTGGTATTGGACTGGGTATTGATTCTGAGCCGGATCTTGATTCTGAACTTGATATTGATTCTGGATCTGGGCCTGATATGGACTTTGATACTCGATCTGATACTGCGATTCAGTGATTGGGACCGAGGCCGGAGCTTTCTCCCGTCTCGCCAAGGGATGATGGATGAAGATGCGAGTCTTTTCGTAACCAGGACATTTGACACCGCGTTTGATGCATCGGGCGCATTCCGGCTCTTGTTCGTCGCACTGTTCCCCCCCCGTCCTGTTAGGATTCACGCTCATCGCCAGGGGCTCAGAAGGTAGGACAGACTTTGACTTTGCGTTTCCGGCACATCATGCACCCTTTCGAGTGCCAGGGGATACCGCCCATTTTGTCTGTGCTGACTTGCTTGTCTCAAGTCCACGTCAGGCTTTCAGTATCGAGTAGAGAGTCATATAATCCTACCAATACGGTAGGATGGAGACTGGATGTTGGTGGCTTGGATGTGTTTGCAGGAATTGGCCCAAGGCAGCCTTACGGCAGAGACGCTTTGCCTGGAGGTTGAGGGGCTGCGGAATTCCGGCCCCCAATGTTGCGTGGTCATGTAACATGGTCTACTCCCTTTGAGGTTAGTACCTGTGACAGCCCCCCGCAGGTCACATCTTGGTGATTGGGGGAGTTGGTTTCTCTGGTAAGACCAGCCCATCTTTGATTTCAAACGTCTGTTCAGTCAGTAAAGAAGTGGGAAATATATAGGTCCATAACATCGAAGACCGATCCACGTTGAGAAGTAGGAGATTGCTGGTGAACTCTCTTGTGTGATGAAGAGAGAATCCAATGGGGATTCCCGCTGTTTCAATGGCCCCAGTTAGCGTTGCTGAGCGGGCGGACCACTCTGTGGTCTTATGCATGAGTGAAACTCATGTAGAGGGTCGCAGTAGGGTGACCGACAGATCACTCTAAAGTCTGCTCATAATGCTCGAGAAAAATACAATGGAGGAAAGAAAATCTCCAGGGGACAACCGCTGGCCTTTATCTGGTTGAGAATAGTCTTTGAGGGTCGGGCCGTGAGCCTACCTAAAAGGAAAGAAGTTGCGAAGTGGGCCCAAGGAGCTGGAGCTATGGCCCCCACTCGTGAATCCTTTCTCGTACGTTCACCAATATGGCAGCTTAGATTCAAATGTCTCTTGGGTTTGTGGGACTTTCGACGTTCCTAGTCTACTCTGATGGAGAGAAACGCGCGAAGGAGGCGCCAAACCCCTCTAGATTCGGTCTAGTACGAACCGTTATAAGTAGATTGTGTTTGTTGATAGTAAAGTAGGTATACGTAGTAGGGCATTAATGAAACACTAGTCTCTTGATCTGAAAGCGCGTAGGAATAGGGTAAACAGAAGGCACATGAGTTCCCTCCAAATTGCATTCGTCCTCCTTCTGACAGGAGAGAAGAATCGTCGCACAGACCTTGATGTTGAACATCTTTGGGCCAATGGGCACAAAGCCTCCCTATCCCGTTGAATCCTATTAATGCTAGACCTTGGCCGCATTGGAATTGATGATTTAGGTTGAGGGCAACTTGATGTAAGCTCGAGAGGTGAGACCCTCGGGTGGAAGTGTCAGGGCAGGGGCGATACCCCCTGAACAGGATCGCTTGACATATGTCTCAGCCGCGAGTATCGCTTTGACCTGCCGTTCATATCTTGACCCGATGTATAGAACAGCCGGGTTTGGTATGGTCAGATGCGGCACAAGTCCAGAGTAGCGCCACGCAAGCCAAATCCCGACTCGTCGATGACTGAGTCCCACAAGTCTGTGTCTTGCAAGTCACGGAAGTTAGGCCCGTGTTCGGATTCAGTAGGGCTTTCTTCACGATGGAAGTAGTGCATTTGTGGCCCAGCTTCCCCGCAGAGACCAAGAATAACGCTGATGGCCATCTTAGTTTGCGGCTTCTTGAATGCGGATCCGGTCATGAATTGCAGGCATCCATCCACGTAGTAGCGAGCTATTTTCTCATCTTCGGCTCCTCGATGATGAATCAGGTAGACCAATATCAATAGAGAACTCTGCTGGGGGCCATAGTACTCGGCGAGAAACCAAAGATAGGGTTCAAATGCTGGAGCTCTACAAAGACGTAAGTATTTCCGGATGTAGACCAGTGAGAGGTGGTAGATGCTGTCCGTAGCGTTGTTAGACAAAATCTCCGCAATCCCTAAAATGTGAACAATCAGATTTGAAATGAAACGTACCGATTCCAAGGCCTTTCAGAGGATATCGAATCCGGAGGCCCAAGCAGCGATTTCTTCAGCATGGTGGCCACCTCTAATTTGACCAGAAACAAGCTTGTTCGTGCCAACGCACCAATCAAAGTAGGCGCTTTACCTTCGTCTTGGTAGAGAGCGAAATGTGATTCTGGGGAGGCTTCCGTCAAATCGTCAGGAAATATGTCCTTGGGGTCTTTAAAATCCGGTATTTTGGCAATGAGATTGTCGATCAGACGGCCAAGAGATCTGGCTGCTTCCAAAAGCTCTTTTACCGTTTCCTGAGATATTTCGCCTTTGTTTCGGGAAGCGACATTCTGGAATTGATGCATAATCTGGTTTTGTAGCCGTGCTGCTTCGTACCGACCGATGGCAAGGAGCTTGACAGCAGAGTTCTCTGGCGCGGAAATCATTTGCACTCCACCTAGAGCACTGTTATCAAGACATGTTGGTAAGCTGCTAGCAAGGCTAGATTGTATATCCAGCCAGACTAGGTGCCACCATATCTGACGTCGATGTTCTCTTGTAGAATCGAGATCTGGAATGTTATTTTCTTGATGAAGCCCCATACTCTGAGCCAGGCGGATGGACTTTGCGATAAAAAGCGCATCGTCAGTTGATGATTGGATTTTGGCGAATACATGGAATAAAATCGATCCAACCAAGGTGTTGAGCGTTGGGTGCTCAGAATGTCTGCACGCAGACAGACTATCAGCACAGGCATTTTCGAGCTGGGAAATAGTTGTCTCGCGATTAAGGCATCTCAAGGTAGGTGGGCCATCCGTCCATCTCGATAATGATATCCCTGAAGCGCCAGCATAAAGTACGGCGAAAAGGAGGCAAGTAAATGTGGGATCTTCAACCAATTTGGGAGGCGGGTAAAGATCCCCCGAACGAGCCCATTCCCAGAAGGCCTCATAATCTGATTGAAAGGTCAAAGTATCGACCACAGGATGGATAGGGTAAACAGATACAAAGAATGATCGAACGAGTGCATCAGCTGCTGGTCTCGTGGGTAGGACAAACAGAACCTTTGCCAGTGAAACAGCTGAAATATGTGATGGAGGTAGATCGGATGGAGTGGTTTTCTCGTCATAGAATAATCCATCACTCAATGCTTCCTTCAACAAGGTTAGCGTGGGATTAGAAACCGAGTCTGTGTTGACTCACCCGACCATTCACGAACCCCCAGAAAGTCCTGCCAATGTGCCGAACTCGAGCGCCTCTTTGAAGACTCAAATGATCAGAGGCCAGAGGGATCTGATTTCCATCACTGGAAGTAACCTGCTCATTGAAGACCCTCTCTTGGTCATGGGAAGTTAGTTCAGCTGGACGGGGACCGTTCTCTTCAAACTCTGCAGCTCGCAGGACGCGACCCGTTTCTGTATCACGAACGCCAGTGTCGTACGAACAGATCTCTCCAAGTCGCTCACAATTGTGACATTGGGGTTTCTCTTTCCCACATTTCACTTTGCGGCGACGGCATACCACACAGCTCAAGGCCAAACGAGGCCTTTTGACTGCGTGAGAGGACATTTAGTCAACCATGCTCCGAGGGGTGAGAACGAATCCGTGAGTGAACGATGCAGTGCCGAATATCTGAAAGGGAAAGCTTGGAAAGGCTGACATGGACAGTATCAATCGGAGGTATGTGAAATCGACCCGCACGAGTGGCTGGATCCATCCACGGGAAGCACCAACTGGAGCCCTGGCAGGCGTAAGATCGCCTTAGTCATCGTCATGGAGTTTCTGGAACCGTCCCAGTGGAACTCAACCTTCTCACACTCTCTCTTTAATCCATTCACCTTGAAATGAGAACGACACCTCTTGGATAGTGCGCCCTCCTCTACACCCGACCATCCCATCCCTCCACATCCCCACCGATGGCGCGCTCCTCCGTCGTCCAAGAGTATGACGCGCCGTCCACAACCCTGAGCCTGGACCAGAAAGTGACCCACGAGCGCCAGACCTACCAAGTCGCTCGCCCAAAGGGCTACCGCGTCTCATGGCACGCCAATCCGGCCGTTGAGGCGCACCATTTCGGCCAATCACATCCCATGAAGCCATGGCGACTCACCTTGACCAAGCAGCTCGTCATGGCATACGGGATGCACCACGCTATGGACCTGTACCTCGCGCGGGCGGCGACGTACGAAGAAATGGCCGAGTTTCACGAAGCAGATTACCTTGATTTCCTGCGGCAGGTGATGCCGGGTGACATGGACCGCGCAGAGCAAAGTGATAACGTGGTGCGGTTCAACTTTGGCGACGATTGTCCCATCTTCGACGGGCTGTACAATTACTGCTCGCTGTACGCGGGCGGCACGGTTGACGCAGCGCGCAAGCTGTGCAATGACCAGGCTGAGATCGCGATCAACTGGTCTGGCGGTCTGCATCACGCAAAAAAGGCCGAGGCAAGCGGATTCTGCTACGTCAATGATATCGTCCTCGGTATCCTACAGCTATTGCGCCACCATCCTCGAGTCATGTACATCGACATCGACGTGCACCACGGTGACGGTGTCGAGCAAGCATTCTGGTCCACAGATCGTGTGCTCACCGTCTCATTCCACAAATACGATAAAGACAACTTCTTCCCCGGAACCGGAGCTCTCGACGACACGGGTCCCACACATCCCCTCAACCCCGGCGCACACCACTCCATCAACGTCCCGCTCAACGACGGCATTGACGACGAATCCTACATCCAGCTCTACCACGACGTAATCGGCGCCTGTGTCGAGACCTACCGCCCCGGCGCAATTGTCCTACAATGCGGAGCAGACAGTCTGGGCTGCGACCGACTAGGATGCTTCAACCTGAACGTGCGCGCGCACGGCGCCTGTGTCGCTTTCACCAAGACCTTCGGCCTACCCCTCCTCGTCGTCGGCGGTGGCGGGTATACCCCCCGCAATGTGTCCCGCGCCTGGGCACACGAAACATCCATCCTCCTCGAAGCCGATCAAATAATCGACCCTACGATCCCGGACTCGGTCGCCTTCCGCACACACTTTGGTCCTGATTACTCACTGTTCCCGCCGTTGTCGGAGATCCGTAAATTGGAGAATAAGAATCCCCGGTCTTACCTCGCCGGCCTGGTCGAATCGGTACATGAGCAGTTGCGGTATATCAAGGGTGCCCCAAGTGTGCAAATGAGCTTCATCCCACCGGATATCCTTGGTCTGCGTGAGGAAACGGAAAAGGAAATCGAGGAGGAAACCGCCATGCTCGAGGAAGAACGCGAGGAACATTTTGGCGGTGGCTCTGCAGCCGCTGCAGCCGCTGCATCCTATACAGACGTGCCTGGCTCAGTCGGTGCTATTCCTCGCGGGAATCGCCGGCGCGAGCTAGAGCGCGGCGCTGGGTATAAGGGTGAACTATATTCATGATGGATTGCTCAAATCGTACGGTGTTTAGGGCTAGGGGTTCCGGCGTCTAGGGTTGGTTTCTTCTGTTTTTATGTCAACGGTGTCTAAGGTGTTTTGATCTTTCAGTTCTTGAGATATCCCCGGACAGAGAAAGAGACCTGTACAGTAATAAAAAGCCAATTAAGAAATAAATTCATAAAATCAATACATTGGATGAAAGTTTGTAGCCTTGAGATCATTGCCTCCCTGTTTGTATACTTCTGTGCTCATATATCGAAGAAGTCTATCATCACTCCATTCCAGTGAACACCCCCCGCACCAAGGAAATCCGATCAAATCAAGCTTGAAACTTGCATCTTCGACGAAAGACCATGACTCGCCGATTGAGAAACATTCTTCCCTTCTACGACAACCCCCAAATTAAACATTACGACGTACATCATACCTCCCTCCAACCAATATCAGTCCCAGAAACAGCACAACCCGATGCGAAGACGTATGTGAAGCATATATGTATTTCCAATTGTTTTGTTTATTTCAAATCGATTTTCGACGAGAATTATCGAGTTTGAGTTTTTAGTATTTCTTTTCCTTTTTTTTTCTTTCTCGGGATGGCAAAAATCCAGAATCAAATCGGGTATCCAGCAAATGTGGTACGGCATTTTAGACCGGGGAAAAACGCTTGTGTTGAACATGATAGTGGTGGGAAGTAGAAGGGATGTGTATGGTCGTCGTTTTCCAGTCGCGAGAGTTACTGCTGACCGCATAGCTTTTGCAGATTGATTGCTTTCGCTTGGCGGACTAGCAGTGATGGACTCTATGCGAGGCTGGAAGCTGGAAAGGACCTCGGCGCGGGTTTGGTGGTGAATTGGGCCCGGAGTGTAGTTTATGTCGTGGTTGTCGTTTTTATTTCTCCCGAATTACTGCTTTTCCTCTGCGTCCACGAATTCATCCACCTCTTGCGTTTCGGTATCTTTCCGTTCGACGACGCTTGGGGCGGCTGTGTTGTTTCCTGTGGATGAGGCTGCGCTCGTGGTATTAGCTGTCGTGTCCTGCTCGGGGAGCGCCGGTGTCGCAGAGGTGGACGGCTTGGAAGCATGCGGCGGAATCTGGAATTGGCTTGAGTCTTTCTGACCTGCGAGGATGGGCGCGATGGCTAGGATTTGCTTGGTTGCGATCTGAGGGTCGTGCGAGTCGCTGTGGTTTTTGAAACGTTAGTCAAGACTTGATTCTGCTTGGACATGTCCTGCAGAACGTACACTTCGGCATTGATGATCCAGTCCAGGTCTTCCTCGCCTTCGTCTTGACCGCCAGGGCCACCGTGTACAGCCCGGAACAGTCGTGGTCGCCACTCGACACCTTCGTCAACGCGCTTGGCAGCCTCGTCTCGTTGGCGATCTTCAATCTTGGTCTTCTCGTCCGTCGCAGCTACATGGTTTTGCGCGAGGATCGCCTTGACCGTGGGTTCCCACAACCGTTGCGATTCGCGCTCTGCTTGCTCATCGATCGGGCGTGCGGAAGGCTTCGAGTGCTTGGCGTGTGTGGCATCGAACAAAACCTCCTTCTGGTGAGTCTGTACAGTTTTATTAGCACCTAACGCAGACAGAAGGGAGAACGACACTGAACGAACATGGACATTCTTGATGTGCATCTCGCCATTCCACAATCCTGACAATTCATATAACACTTCACCAGTCTTCTCGTTCTTGATCGTGCCTCCGATTGCATTATATGTACCCGAGAAATAACCCTTGGTCTTGAATTCGATATCGGCCACGAGGTTGTTCTCCGGGCACCGCACATAACTGTGGTCGCCTAGCTCATACTTCATCTTTCCGAATAGAATGCCGCGCGCGTACATGTTGGGCTGTGTCAAGATGCTAAGAGAATTGGTTAGTACATACTCTGGCGCAACCAGCAAGAAAACCGTATGATGCAAGGGAACAAGTCAAAAAGACGTACTATCGCTCGCCCTTCTCCTTATCCTGGCCGCAGTTCAACAGTCGCAAAATCGCAATACCCTCCATCATACTCGCTGCAGAGTTGCCCAAAAACTTGCTGCGGGGCTTGAGCGTGCCGTCGATTCGAATATGGTGCTCGGGAGCCATAAAGAAGTAGCTCGACTTGGGCGGATGGTGGGAGGTCTGCTCCGAGACATAATATCCACGCGTTCCATCAGGATAGTCCCAGTAACAAGTAAAAGTCTCTCCGAGAATGGGGTTCAAGGGCTTCTTGACGCCTCTGCAAGCACGAGCGGGGAGAAAATCAGTATGTCGTCACCGCGGGAAGCAAGGAAAAAGGAACAACAACAGCGCTTAGGGCGGGAAAAGACGTACGGGGGCTTGATGTGCCATCCACTCAAATAGAACTTGATGACTGAGACGAAGCGGTCAACGGGATCGTCGATCGTGGGCATGGGGAGGAGGGTTTCGGGGTGTGCCATGAAGCTATAGGAGAGAATCTTGTTAGTTCCATCCTAACTGATCGTTCACCATGATCCAGATCGCACATACTTGGTAATGCGCTCGAGCATCGACCTCGGCTCCAGGATAAAGGTGGGCAGGACGACCCGACTCAGGTCGGCGCCCGGTCGGAGCTGCGAAATGATATGCGAGAGGACTATATTTTGCTCGTCAGCGGGGGGTTGTTCGCGGGGGGAATTCGTTGGGGGTCTTTTTTCCAACGGCGCGGGCACTCATACCATTTCCCTGATCGGGCTCGACGGTCTCATCCTCCCCACTACCGGGAGAGTCGTCCACGGATGACCGGCCTAGTGTTGCGTGAGTATCCGACATGGTTGAGTGGTGAGTTTGCGAGGAGAGAAGAGAAACCCACTGGTTAAGGAAGCGCGGCGGAGGTGCGGGACCGGCATGACTGCAAGCGGAAAAGACAGAAGCAGTAGGATGTTGTTGTGTGGGGGGAAAAGGGTTCAGCGCAACGGCATCTAGCGGGGATTGTAGTATGGAGTAGTTTCTGAAGATCAGAGGAAATTAAGGGTCCCGAGGGGAGTGGAAAAAAAGGGAAGAAAAAGAAAAGCCTTGAAGGATTTAAAAGAGGCTGTGGAGTATGTCTCAAGGCCCAAAAAAAAGATGGTTTGAGTAGTATACGGGCACGCAGGCTTAGCTCGTCATCGGAAGTCGAATACGAATACTGGGAACTAAACAGGTGGGACGGGTACAGGATATATACAACCATACATCATACTATACTATAGTATAGTACCAGTACAGGCTACATTATAGGTACTGTTGGAAGACTGCAGTCAACAGTACCCAAAAAATTACCAAATTCTTCTTAGACTTGGGTCAGTCGGGCAGTGACGTCGAGCCTCACGCCTCCACTTTGGCTCCAAATCCACGCTTGGGATAGGCTGTGAATAGATTGGCCCAACAGAGCTAGTATTTCTAGGGTTTGGTCCCATCTTGGCCTCCGTCTAATTGTCTATTCACTCTATTGGACTCCTTGTTAAAAATCTTGGAGCTTCCCTGTGGAAATCCCTTCTATACCAAGACAAACCTTCCAGTGCTTCCCCTCTTCTTTTCTCGATCGTCGGGGGCACGGCCTTGGCAGAGTGGGGGGAGACTCGATGTATCGACAACACGCAGGTCGGGGGATATCGCTGCAGGCAGTCGCCTGCAGGCTGGTCCACTTGGTCGAGTTTGGTCCAAGACTTGTCCAAGCTTGTTCTGCTTAGGTCGATCCAGGATGATCAGAGGATTGTAGTCGTAGCCACTCTCGCCAAGGCACCGAGTATGTATCCAGTATCCAGTATCTAGACTGGACAGTCTCCTCTCATACCCGTTCAATCAGCGGTACATCTCCATGGGTGATATCCTGCACGAATGCCATATCCGGGCGATGGAGCATGACGTGGAAGTGTTCGATGGCGTGGACGGACTTGAGTGACTTCCAGTTCCTGAACCAGACGACCTGTTCAGGCGCCAGCGAACAAAAAGTCTCCCGGACGTATCGCTCGATCGCCTCTCGCGCCTCTGCTGTCAGATCACCCGTGGCAGGGTCATCGGGAAGCTCAAATTTGGTCCAGACTACCAGGTGGATGATATCCGTATCTATCCCGTACGGCCAGTCATTGTATAAGATCCGAATATCCTCTGTATACGTCGTATCCCTCGTATACCACATTAGCCAGTATACTCTTTTGAATCTTGGGGCCTAAAAAAAAGGGTGCTTTCCTTACCGGAGAACTCGAACAAGCCACCACGAGGCCGAAGGTTCTCGGCACTCCCATCGCCCCAGCATAGTCTCTCCGTAACAACGAACCGCATCACCGATCCATACTCGGCTTTGATCTGGGACATGTATTCCAGATACTTGCGCAGTTCGCTCGGGACACGTTGGAATCGATCGATCCGGTTCGTTCCTGCGGAATTCAATGCAGAACGCCTGTCAGCCTGGTAACCCTTTTAACCTCTGACCGACACCTGGTCCCAGCGCCGATATGCATGACAGATGAAACGAGCTCCACTCAACTGGTGATCTCCTGTACTTCCTCCCAGCTCTGTCGCTGATAGTGGCTATCGGGTGTAGCCAGGCATTGTACGTTCTTTGGTGGTTGATCTCGTAGAAAGGCAGGGCATTCGGTCGTCCATTGCGACCGGGGTACATTTACCAGCCAGAAAGGGAGAGTTTCCAAAGTGATACCCCGGTCTTGGAGGAAGCGCGCTGGCGTGTTGATGTCCGCATCGACCAATTTCTCGTCCGGCGAGGTAATAGTCCTCGTAGGCGTGGACACGTTTGTTGAATGTGGCATTGTAGACCGTATCTGGGAGGCCGGGTTTGGATTGGGTTGCTTATGCTCTTGTACGACGGAACTTGTACAGGCCCCCTTTCAAGAGCGACGTCACTCTGCAGTAGTGCTAGAGAGAATCGAAAGGCACAAAGGGGGAAACGTTCCTGAAGTAAGCACCCCCACGGGCCGTTTATTTCAATGTCGATCATTCGGGGGCATTTCATCTACCGGAATCCACCCGGTGGCAAGGACGCGAATCCATGCGGAGTATGTACTTCGGACAGGAATGGAACCATCATTCCAATACTCAAGACCCGGAGATAGCAAACACAAAAGGGGGGAATCAATTGTCAGAATCTACTAAGAAGAACAACAAGACTATCGTTGCAATCTATGCCACTGCTACGGCCAGCTTCTTCACAATCGCATCACCAGCGTGGATGACCGACACTCCCGCAACTCGAAGCTCCTCTTTGACCTTGTCCCAACTAGCAGGCACCACGCACTTTGTACCCTCTTCGATAAGCCAGCTGCGGAATCCAGCCTTGACGGCATCGATAGCAGTGCATTTCACGCAATAGTCCCCCGCTAGCCCGACGACGAATACATCCGTAACCCCTTTCTTCTCGAGCACCGATGCGATATCCACATTGACAGATTGCGCCGTCACGGCAGGGTCTAGATTTCCAAAGGCATCCGCAAAGGCAGAATACATCTCGACCTGCGAGTGCTTGCCCTTCTGAACGAACAGATCAATGCGACCGGCGTCAATCTCGGGTATCATCTCCGCTCCGGGGGTACCAGCCACGCAATGAACCGGCCAGAGCTGCTGCGGTTTGGTTTCAGTCTTCTTATCCGGTGCGGGGTTCTTCATCTCGACGAAAGATTCGAACGGTCGGTTGTTGGGTGGGGGATGGTTGCTGGCGAAGGAAATGTGGTCTGCGGGGTGATAGTCTTGAGTTGCGATGCGCGTCACGAATCCAGGCTGGGAGAGGAGATCGTTGATCAGTGGAGTAATTGTTCGGCCATCTTGAACGGCGAGAGATCCATTCTATTTGTCCCGCGAAAGCATCGTTGCCAGGTGCACATCAGCATGTCCGAGCTTCTCGAGCTATATAGTCAGCTATATCCGTGGACTCACGGGTGGACAGAAGTCTTCCTGCATATCCACGATGATCAGAGCGGGCACAAAGGGGCCCCTATCGCTGCCTTTGAATTCCATGGCGAAAGGTAGATCTGAGAAAAGCTTGGATGGTGTCAAGTCAGTGTTGTAATGTTGGAGAGCTTGAGGGCGCCAAGAGGCGATTTAAAGCTGGCCGAGCTAAGGCCCGCTGAGTCAGCAATCACGCTAAAAAAGGGAAGTGGCCGAACCGCAGAAACTTGGATTTCTTTCTTTTCCTCCTTCCAAGGGCTACGGCCCCAATGAATCAACTGAACTCTGGATAATGAACGGTAGTTGCAAGGTACGTAAAAAAAGGATGCCAGCATCCGAATTGCTTTTACCCTTCTGCCCCTTTTACATGATGAGTTTATTATTGGAGCTGTCTGAGCTTTGGCTATGCGGACAAACTCATTATACGCTTTTTTTCTCTGAACCTCATTTCTTCTCACATTGTTTGATTTCATTCAATATCTGGGTCCAATGCTAATGCTAATGCCCAACTAGTCAATACCAGGAGATCGTAAACCCATCTTCAAGCCTCCCTAATCTCTCCCATTCGCTTGTCAGCTGCTAGCTGCCCGGCTCTCTCCCCTTCCTATCCTTCTTAGTACTACTTTACCATTTCTACATCTTCATCTACAACCCCCCATCCCTCCATATAATCCTCCCCGCCCACAATGGCGGCCTACGACCCTCGTGTAAACCTCGGAAGCACCACTCCTCAAAATCCTCCTCCCCCTCCTCCCCCACCACCCGAGTCCGCACTCTCAGAAATGCCTTCCACCACCGACGAGGCCGTGGACACGGCTACACCCAACACCGTCACTTCAAGCACCCCCGAGCAACCCACCGACTCATGGAAGCTAAAGTTCTGCACAGTCTGTGCATCCAACAATAACCGCTCCATGGAGGCTCACCTCCGGCTGTCCACCGCACCAACCGCGTTCCCCGTGATATCCTTCGGCACGGGCTCGCTCGTCCGTCTCCCAGGTCCCTCAATCACGCAACCAAACGTGTACAGCTTCAACGTCACCTCGTACAACCAGATGTATGAGGAACTGGAAGAAAAAGACCCCCGACTATACCGCCACAACGGCATCCTGAACATGCTGGACCGCAACCGCAATTTGAAATGGGGTCCGGAGCGGTTCCAGGATTGGGTGCCCGGGCAGCCGCGTCTCGAGCATATTTCCAAGGGTGATAAGGGCTCGTTGGGGACGGAGGGGGCGTTGTCGATGTCATTATCACTTGTGAAGAGCGATGCTGGGATGCTGTCGTCGACGATTTGATGAATAAGGGTAATACCTTGAATCGTCCCGTGCATGTGTTCAATGTCGACATCAAGGATAACCACGAGGAAGCCCTGGTCGGTGGAAATGCCATTCTGGATTTGGCGAACCGTCTGAATGAGTCTGCCCTCGCGCAGCGCAAATTGCATGGTTCTGCCGGGTGGGAGAATGGGTCTGGTGCGGCTCGCTTGAGCTTTGATGAGAGTGTTCCGGAGATTCTGGCTGAGTGGCAGGAGAAGCATCCTAATCTGCCGGCCTTGTGGACTCTGGCCTGGCTGTAGAGGTTTCGAGAAACCTCACTGTCCTGTTTTTCTGATACCCCCCTTTCACTGTTTGCAGATGCTTGGGTTTTGTGTTCTGGGATTGAGCAATGCCTGTTCGATCTGAATTATGCTACATCGGTTATTGACTACGAATCGAACAACTGTGCTACGCAATGCTCTTATACTTTTAGTCCTAGACACCCTCCTCAGGTCCATTAATAATAGGTTGAATATCTTGGTGAACGAGGTATTTCAAGTAGAATTATAAAGCAAACCGATATGGGTATCATCCGTACAACGCCAGCCCTCCAGCGTTCCATCGAGGAAGCAAGTGAGATAAAAAAACAACAGCACAAAAGAGCAAGCCTCCAAGCAATCTCATTGCTCGCCCTTAACTTCTACCTTCTCATCCTGAGAAAGCACCACATTCCTTCGCTCCTGATACCACTTATCCAGACACTCCCTCCGTTGCGCCTGCGTCATATTCTCCACAACAAGCGCAAACTCCGTCGCATCGGCATACCCAAACCGTCGGGCCATACTGCAGAACTGCCGGTGCTTCACATCCTCAGGCGGGTTATACTTGAATCGAACGATCTGCCCTTTGGCGTCCCGGAATACAGATGGTGGCGGATGTTGATGGAGTGGCTCTGCGAAAGGGTCGTCGGCACTATCAGCATTCTGAGAGGGTTCGAAGATCTGAATATCTGCATTAGGGTCATTGATGACTTGCTCTGCGCGTCGGCTGAGTCGTTCTTCAACGCGGGATGAGCCGATGACTTCATTGTTGAGATGAGTGTATTCAACACCTGCCCCGGCGAGAATGGCCTGGATCGGGTCATGGCTGCGTGTAGTCTCAGTCTCAGTCTTCGGTCCATCGGCATCAGTCTCGCCGCGGACCATAGCGGCTATCTGGCTCATTGCTTCGTCCTCGGCCTTGACGCTCCTCTCGCCGGTGAAGTCATTTTCGTCGTCTTCTTTGACCTCAAAGTCCATGACTTGAACGCCGGCCCGGCTTTCAGCGACGTTGGTTTTGTTGACAATGTCACGGAGAACGACATTATCATGTTGGTAGGCGAAGAGATTCTGCATACCGAAGATCTCGCCCTTTTGATCGGACTTTTCTTGGACCCCTTTAAAGTAGCGTCGTTCGGAGCTGGCCGTGTAGCCGATCTCGGCTTGTTGCTGCTTGTAAATCTGTCGCGCGTAGACGATCTCTTCAATGGTGCCTACTGAAACAAGTCGGAAGACTTCTACATCGCGAACCTGTCCGATACGGTAGGCTCGGTCCTGTGCCTGAAGATCATAGGCTGGATTCCAGTTCGGATCAACCACGACGACCTTGTTCGCCGATGTGATGTTCAATCCAACACCACCGGCTTTAGTGGAGATGAGAAAGACAAATTGGTTTGGATCAGAGTTGAACTCATCCACGGCCTTCGCACGGTCTTCATATTTCATGGATCCATCCAGGTAGCTCACGTTGTAGCTAGTGTGATTGAACAGCATTTGCAGCATTTTCAGCAGGCGTACACTATGCGAGAATACGAGGACCTTGTCGCCGTTCGCATGCCACCACCTAAGCAGCTTGCGCAGGACTTTCCACTTCCCACAGAACTCGGGGTTTGCGTAGTTGACAATCGAGTCTCGGGAACGGTACAGGTCTTCCCATTGATCAGGCAATGCTATTTGCAGCATTTCTTTCTCCTTCTCTTGTTTCTCATTAGCGTCGTTTCCTTGCGGGATCAGAATAGCTAGATGGTTGCTGAGCTTCTGGAGGACCGCAATAGCAGGAAAGACGTAAGACTGCCATGTCTTGTCCGTGCCAGGAACAAATTTATGACAGCACCATCCTCTCTTCTTCCCTGACCCACAATCACAATTGTCAGTGGAATATCTGATTGTAGTCACGATATCGCTGTCCAAGAAATTCTCGTAGGCTTCTGCCTGTGTCCAGGTTAGAGGACAAAAGACCACCCTATCACTCTTTTTGGGTAGCTGGTCCGCAATCAAAGTCTTCATACGGCGGAGGAAGAACTGTGGAAGCAGGTTTTCGACAAGCTTTTTTGCCGTTCTTCGAGCCTTGCTAAGTTGATTCAATGTGGCATCGTGTGATTGTCCAATCTTCAATGGCTCGGCGATTTGCGCCTTCCAGGTTGTCACCGGCCCAACAACGCCCGGATTCGTCCAGTTTAAGAGAGTCCAAAGCTCTTCATACCGATTCTGAATAGCCGTGCCGGTTAGGCCAATTCGGCAGAGTGAATTGATCTCGTTCATCCCTTGTGTCGTTTCGGACTTTCGCTCCTTAATCTTGTGGCACTCATCTGCAATTACACAGTCCCATTCCACCATATTCACGGAATCCTTGTTATTCACGTAAGTGGTGTAGGTCGTAATCAAGATCTCGACACGACCCGATTTTGCAGCGTGAAGGGCAATGTCCTTGTTGCTGCCATGATAGACATCGACATGCCACCACCCCCACCGCTGAAGCTCAGATATCCAATTTGAGATCAGAGTTCCAGGGCAGATGATAAGCGTACGCGGATACCATATGCTGTCACCCGACCTTCTCATTTTGCGCATTCGTTTAGAATCACGCTCGTCCCCAGTCTTGCCGTAGGCGGCTGTGAGGAATGCAATCACTTGAATAGTCTTTCCCAGACCCATGTCATCGCCGAGGATACCGCCCTTCTGATAGACGAACAATTCGTGCATGAAGGCGACCCCTTCAACTTGATACGAGCGCAGCCATTGTGCAATAGGCGCGGGAATTAGACCCAGAGAATATTGCAGCGTGATATCCTTGTATTCCCTGACGGGTGTTCTGTCGGGGAATGATGGCTTCTCTTGCAGATGTTCGAGGCGCTCATCATCGGAAAAGTCAACCTCGTCGTAGGAAGGAGGCAGCTTTAGACCGTGCTCATTGAGATTTTGATGATCCAGATCAAAGTGAGCCCTTCGCTTCTTCAGATAGTCTGGAAGAGTGTACTCCATCAGCTCATCCTCTGATGAAACCTCGCCATATTCCCTCAACGGCCTCCTGGGCCTCGTTGGTGCACGTTCCGGCTTGACGAGACCGACCATTTTTTGATCTCGGTGTTCTTTCTTGGGAGCCTTTGCCCTCCTAGTTGCAGCCGCACTCTGTCTACGCTTGACAGACTTGCGCTCTTTGAACTTTTTATATGCTGCCTCGCCATCGTTGAAGTCATCGTCGCTCTCGTCTTGGACCTTGACCGGTGTGCTCGATAAAATGCGAGACGGCGTGTCGAAAGCTTCAGGTTTAGGGGCTGAGTGAGCGAGCATACGGCTAGGAGTATTTGTAGGCTCTTCGCGTTTTAATGTGGCTGGTGTTCTATCTGAGATACCATAGTTAGGCTTTATGTCGCGCGCATCCCAAGATTTAGATAGTACGTACTGTAGTTGGTGCCTGCACCCACATAACCTGTCATTTCCAGGTCATCATCATCTGATTCGATTTCGATGACCTCGACCTCAGCAGTGAGATCACCCATATCCACTGCATAGCCGATCGGTGTCGGTATCGCTGAGGGGTGAATGCGCGCAGTGTGCAAGTGCCGGCGACAAAGGCGGAGAAAGTATGTCATTCCCGATCGCCGAGAAAAAAAGCTGACCGACCAACTCCTCTCCGCAGGCCACCACTACTCGATACCTTTACACATTCTCAGCCCGCTTTCAATTGGGTTTCATCTTACTCTTGATCTGCTTGGGTGATCTACGCGACGTAAGCTCCCTAAAACTCTGGCCCCGGATCCTGGACTTGACCATTGTGAACTAATCTGCATCCCACCACTTAGACCTGCGAATAGAGCGCCAGACGAGCTTGCTTTCTGAGGCCTGCCCTCACTTTCTAATACCTCTCACATCCCTACCGAATTCAATCCGCCAGAATGCCGCTCGATACCTCCACAACGTATCCTTTGACCAAACTGCGCCTTGACGGTCGCCGCTGGAATGAGCTGCGTCTAATTCAAGCGCAGATCTCGACCAACCCCGCCAGCTCCGGCTCTTCATACTTGTCTATGGGCAATACTGCGATCATGTGTTCCGTCCATGGCCCTGCTGAAGGCCGTCGTGGTGAGGCCAGCGGTTCCGGAGGCAGCGCAGGTGCCATCGTCGAGGTGGACGTGAACGTTGCTGGGTTTTCTGGCGTGGATCGCAAGCGGAGGGCGGGAGGAAGTGACAAGTAAGTGGCTGGATCAGTTTCCAATAGTTGAAGCCTTTGACTTGCATTATACTGGCCATGGATATTGGAACTACGAAATGCTAACTTTCTGGTGAACAGACAATCTTCGCGGATCGCAACAACCCTACGCTCGGCCTTCCAATCGCACCTCCACACCTACCTCTACCCGCACAGCACCATTAGTATCCATGTCTCCGTTCTCTCTGCCGATGGGTCTCTACTTGCTGCTGCGATCAATGCCTGCACCTTAGCCCTGGTGGACGCCGGTATTCCCATGCCCGGTCTGCTCACCAGCTGCACGGCTGGTATGAGTGGCAGCGCCTCCACACCGCGGGATCCTCGAAATGATGAGCTCGATCCGCTGCTGGATTTGTCACTTCCTGAAGAGCAAGAGCTGCCCGTGTTGACTGTCGGCACTACCACATCGGTACCCGTGGGAGAAAACAACATGGACGAGGAGGAGGGCGATATGAAGGTGGCCGTGTTGACAATGGACTCGAAGCTGCACTATTCTTATATGGAGACGATGTTGGCCGTGGGAATTGATGGGTGTAACCAGATTCGCGAACTGTTGGAGGGAGTGATTAAAGGGTCGAGCCGGGCCTGAATGTGACGAGAAGCTGATACCCATGCACTTTTGGCGGCGTTCTTTTTGGTGTTCAGGACATTTTCCAATGCTACCGCTTGTTGAATACTGAATATTGGATATATTTGCAGAATAAAATCGGAGTTTGTTTTGGGTCCGAATCGGAATAGGAATTTGCTCAATCGTGCTCGTTTCCCAATCCTTCGGCGGTTTCCATCGGAAGGTTCAAAATGTGCTCATTATTCCCAAAAAGGGCAGTCGAGCTCTTGAAGGAAAGCGCGTATTCTATTTCTCATAGCCTCTTCTTGTCCTACCTCTCCATCTTCTTCTCTCTCCTTCTCTGTACAACCTCGACATCACCAACAAAAACTTGATACACGTCCTTCGCTGCACGCTCTTCCAACCTTTGCTTGATCGGACCTCTCGTAATGGACTCGATGGAGTCCATGACGATGACTGCGGTCTCTACTGCTTTGGCGGCCATGAACACCAGCTCCATGACTATGCCGAATATGCCTTCCAACGCGTCAAACGCGGCAGCAATGCCAACCATGCCGAGCATGGATGGTATGGACATGAGCTGTCGAATCTCGGTTCGTATACTCACACTATGCCATTCATGAACTCTCTTTCTGGACTCGAACTAATATGATGTGGTTAGATGCTCTGGAACTGGTACACCATTGATTCCTGTACGTTTATTGCTTTCCCTTCATGCTTCTCATTTCTCGCCGATGATATTGACTCGTCTTGGATGTATAGGTTTCCTGTCCAGCTCTTGGCATATCCGTTCCCGTGGCATGTTCGCTGGCTCCTGCATCGGTACCATCTGCCTCGTCCTTTGCTTGGAGTTCTTGCGTCGTATGGGCCGCGAGTACGATGCCTTCATTCTGCATCGAGCTAGTCTGAGACAGGCATACCTCCCTGGCTCTGCTTCCGTGATTCCGGTCAAGCGAAGTGGAAAAAAGAGAAAGGCTTCCAGAGGCACTGACCCAAATTGCCCTTGCGATTGTCCACGGGATGATGACGAAATCACTACTATCCCTGGCCGCGAGTCCTCGAATGCAAAGCTTGCAGGTTCGAATGGTGTTACGCCCGTTGCTACAGAAGGTGTGCATTCGCTTGACGGTGGCGCGGCTGACCGCAAGAGCTCTGATGTCCTCGCGCCGTATCGTCCCTCTCCGACGGAGCAAGTGATTCGTGCGCTGTTTCACACGGTCCAGTTTGCTGTGGCATACTTCATCATGCTTTTGGCGATGTACTACAATGGCTATATCATCATCTGTATCTTCATCGGAGCGTTCTTGGGTTCTCTCATCTTTTCGTGGGAGCCTCTGTCTCTGTCGAAGGAGTACGTTTTTCCCTCTCACGCTGTGCATCTTCATCATCAAATGCTTCCCCATGGATATTTACTGATCAATTCATTGTGCTGTCACAGGAATGATGCCACACAAGTCACCAAGTGCTGTGGTTAGACCGAAGACCACATCTTGGTCATCATCACGGGATGCAGACCAAAAGACGTCTTACCGAAATGGCAATACAAGGGACTCGGAAGGGAGAAAGACCTCGAGATATGGAATTACGCGATATTCGATCCTCTTTCGACATGATTTAGGTACACATCAACCTTATCTTCTTCGCTCTCAGCACTTCTGGCCAAGTACACATGTCCTTATTAAGCCCAATCTCCTGGCTCTTAGCCCATATCATCTCAAAAATGGATTTTGCCACAGACGCATTCACGAGCCCAGTTGTTGTAAAACAAGTATCGAACCACTGCGAGAAGAATGTCTGAGAATGTGGATCCACTGCTTCACACGCAGCGATAAATGCTGGCCATATTAACGTAGCCATACTGTGACTGCTCCGGCCAGCTTCATCTTGCTGAATATGCATGAGAAGAGAGCACACAGAGGTAACCTCTTTCTGAAGCATCGTAGCATCAAGGTCGTATATTCGGCGGTGGAAGAAGATAAGCAGAGCCGTGTACATGGCTTGTGCTCTTGGATTATCAGCTTGCACTTCACTCTCATACCCGTAATTAGGAGCAGACTCCGTCGTGCACGATCTCAGAAGGATATTGATCCCCTTCTCTAGTGCCTTTGCGCGTAACCAAAAGTCCCTGAGGTTCAAGCCTCCGCTAGCAGTTTGATATAGCATGGAAAAATCACGCTCATTGGCTAACCGGATTACCTGTGACAGAAGCATGAGAAAACTCTCTGCAACGCCATACATCTCCGGGAACAGCGTTAAGCTCCAACGGCCCGGAATAGCGAGGTGAAGATCACGCTGCGCAACATTGGGATCTTTCTCCTGGGCCAAAATATTCTCTGAGAATGTAATGTCAGAGCTTATTCGGAATTCTGTGCTGGGTATGTCCTCGTCTGGGGATAGACTGGTGTTGGCTAGTCTCTCACTTAAGCCGTCGGCAATGCATGTAGTCTCGGCCATAATGCGCATGTATGCGTAGCAATGATGAAGAGACCGACGCTTTTGTGAGATTGTTGACTTTCCGAATCCGTTGATAGAGATGAACTTTTCTGCTTGCACGAGGCATGATCGACGTTTGTCTGAATCGCCTTTTACCATCTGCGTTGGAAGATTCATTTGTTAGTTTCGAATTTCCCACGGTGTTTCAATCGAAGATGATATAGACACATACATAGGCGGTAGAAAGACTCAATATCGCCATGAGAATCTCCTTGTACTTATTTTTCTTGCTGCCCGACATGCGATTTTCTTCCACGCATTGTATAAAGTGACTCTCGGCTTTCCGCAAATATGAGTTCCCCACTGTGATCCAATGATCGATTCTCAGAACGGAATGCTGGCCTAGATGAAAAGCACTCGTACTGAGTAGTGCATTCAGTAAGGCCAGTCGAGCGTGGTTCGCGCTTCCACTCATTGTAAGCTCGCCAAGTGTATTGACTGCATACGGCATGACCAGGTTTAGCCAAGCCGATTCTTGACCATGGCCCAGGGGCGAGATCAAATGCACTATTCGCTCTTTGTAATGTGATAGGATCGTCCATGCTTCGTGGTTATCATTGAATAGAGAAGGTGGTGTGGTAATTTGTGGCTGGGGACTGTCGGATATAAGCTCGATTGATTCCATTGGTGGTGGAATCATTTCGAGTAGCCATGATTCGTCGGCTAATGATATATCGTTTGAGACATCAAGAAGACTAGAGAAGATATCGGTCTCCTCTTCTTGTCCAATGATCTCATCGAGCTCGGCTAGCCAGTCTCTAGGTGACGGGGGGCTGTCTTGAATTTCCAGATCTGGAACATCCGTTTCAACGACCTGAGATAACCTCGAGACCCCGAAAGGACCATGGAAAAACGAGAACGGCGTTGTCACATCCGAATACTGGTCGAATCTTTCAAGATCGAGTAACGCCCGTGTGGGATTGTGATCGGGCACTGATTTGACAATTTCTTTGGTCATGCACTGGCGTTCCGTCTCTGTATAGATTCGCATCAGAGTCCGTGCGATTTAAGGAGCTTGAGGAGGATGTGTACCTGTGAAGATCGCCTGTCGGTGCTTTGCTGCGTTTTCGGCACTTAGTCTGCGAACCCCTTGGTTACTGTCAATAAAAGTCAATGTGAATTTCTGTCCTAGGCACTCTGTGCCTGTATCCACCCCGTTCGGTAGATGCTCTGGTGGAACTATTCCTGTCGAGCTATCCTGTAAGATGTACCGTGAAGACATAGCAGGGAGATCAAAATGATTATCAATGCACATATATCTAGTCTCTTGCATCGTATGGGACTAACTAGTCTCCAGGAAATTGAAGATCAAGCGCTATTCTCTTGATGAGGGGGTCCTTGGCCATGCCTCCCAAAGAGGGATGCGATTCCGAGTAGTTCATTGATAACAGCAAATTTCAGCCCACCTATTTATTTAACTTAGACACGCACAAATCTGACCATAAGATACTTGACAATCTCTTTGTATGGGTTATGTAAGTCAAAGAATGGTTGTAATAAAGGAACTCGAATGCAGGTTCAAAACTGACATTCTCGTAGCCACAATTGTCGAGAAAGGCATCAAACTACATTACGCAAAGGACATGAAATTAAAGAGAGGAGACTGCTGTACTCCAGATGGGAACTCGAGAAATTATTAAGTGCTGTACTTGACAGCCATCAGTGTTGCCGTCGGAGAGACCTGCCTATTTCACCAGTTATTCTTCCTGTTCTATCACGGCGAATGATAGGGAATCCTTTCTATCATCGTACTATGTTTTCTAGTGGTAGTCTATCAGTGGTTTAAGAACACTTAATCTTCATCATTATACGTATTTATAGGTCGAATAAAAGTTGGAATCCCCACATCTTTAGGCTCTATTCATCTAGTGTCGTCATTACTGTCAGCTATCCTCCATGATGACGACCTACTTATTCAAAACTAGCACTTGGTAATCCATGAATACGAATCCTTCATTCTATCCTGAGAGAACTATGTCAGCATTCAGGGCAGAAAAGTTATCAATCAGGTAGAGGAAAATACCCTAGGAGTCAAAGTCATGTTTCTTCAAGGATCAGTGTCGAGTGAATATTCTACACATAATAAGTGGAACAGTAAAATGTCACATCGCTCGGACCATAAAACGACTTGATCATCTAATTAGTAGCGAGCTAATCTACAGATCGCAAAGAATCGAACAGTTTAAACAGAGAGGGCTCTTGATGAAGAATATGTACTTCACCGTCACCGGAAACTAACGGAGTAGTTATCCACCGTGCCACCCCCACTTTTTTTGGCCACAGTCGAACCCGAGTTTACCCCCTCCTACCCCTCCTCGTCGTTGCAAAAGACAGGACAGGACGAAACCAACAGAACTCATTACTCTACAGAATGTTTAAAAAATATGTTGGGATTCCCCGCACTAGGGAGCATGCATGACTAGCTTGGTAGACTGTCTAGATTACACCACGCAAAAAGGGAAAGCCACCAAGAAGGGCCAATCCGCCCCCCACTATTTTTTCGCGGAGGGAAACCCCACGCTTCAAAGAGGAACTTAGCCGCGCCAAACTCAACTCTCAATCATGATCGATCGAGTAGTTTAAGCCTCACCGCAGTTAACGATGGTGGGCTTGACAGCGGAGCGGACGGAGCCGGAAGAGGAGCCAAGGGCCTCAAGCTCCTTCACGACCTTCATGGACTCGTCGTCAGCAACCTCGCCGAAGACGACGTGCTTGCCATCGAGCCAAGAGGTGACAACGGTGGTGATGAAGAACTGGGAGCCGTTGCTAGAAAGCGGGGCGAAAAGAACCGAACGTTAGTTAAACTATTCAGGTTGGAGTGCGTTGAGAGAGCCCTCAAGGCCGGATAGAGACTTACGTGTTGGGGCCAGCGTTGGCCATGGAGAGCAGACCGGGGCGGCTGTGCTTGTACTTGAAGTTCTCATCGGGGAACTTCTCGCCGTAGATGGAGCGACCACCGGTGCCCTATTCCGGAAGAAAGGTAGTTAGCAAGGGGTTCCACGCAGATGGCCGTTCCCAGTAGATGAGAAAGGGCCGACGAGGTAGTCATCCAACGGGGAGAAAAACTCACGTTGTGGCGGGTGAAGTCACCACCCTGGAGCATGAACTGGGGGATGATACGGTGGAAGCCGGAGCCCTTGTAGCCCTGACCCTGGGGGAGCTTGCAGAGCTCACGGAAGTTCTTGGCGGTCTTGGGGACATCAGCCTCGTAGAGGTTGAAGTTGATGCGGCCAATCTTGGCTAGAGAGAAAAATTAGCGTCCGGGTTCAATTGCAAGGATGATAAATGAAGCATTTGTTCTCGTGGAGATGGGAGGGGATGGATGGCCTCAATTGAAGGCTGAAGGGGGTCAAAGAGTAGCACCCCTCCATTCTCCCCTTCAAGAGCGAGAGAACGGGTTGGATTGCATTGCGAACAGGGGAGGAAACTTACGCGTGGAGCTGCCCACGGGGCTGTACTCGACCTCGAAGAAAGCCTTGGTGTTTGCGGACATGGTTGCGGATGATGTGAATGATCGATAGGCAAAAGGATGGAAGGAGCAAGAAGAAGAAAAGAGGGAGGGTGGGGTTGACTTGAGGCGGCAAAACATGGTGAGGGGCAGAGGGCGGAGCGGGTCAACTCGGGTGCCGGGCTGCATGCGGGTTAGCTGCTGCGGGGAACCACAAAGACCAAATGTGCAGGTTTGCCATAATCGACGAATAAGCGGGAAAAGGTCTGCCGTGTGGCCTGGTGGCCTGCTAGCCTGACAGCCTTGCAGCCTTGCAGCCTGAGGTACACCATCCCTGAAGTCATCTCCAGGGAGGACCAGCATACTGTCCAGGGTCTTGCGGGAGGGCGACCCCCTAGATAGAGGACCCGGAGAGAGCCATAGAGGATCTCAATGGACTCTACCAACTCCAAAAAAGAGACCCACTTACCAATTAAAAGTACAGATGATGAATGTTGCGGTGAATGGAAGCTCTAGGGGGAAAATTTGGAAGCTCGTCGTGAAAAAGCTTCTGGAAAGCTTCACGCTTATGTAATCCCGGGAACCCCCTTCCGCCCCGGCCGAGAATGGAGATGGTCTTTGCGGAGGGCTCCGTTTACACTATTGAATCTCCACTCGAAACATTATTAGAATTGATTAAAGGGAGTGTCTGGCTTCTATGTTCCACTTGAAGTACCTCTTAGACATGATCAGGACTTTTAGGTAGTCACCTGGGGTTGTGCATTGTGTATATAGAAGAATCCTGGACAACCCGTAGAATTGTTTGGAATCAAGTGCAATTAAGGAAGAAACATCATGTTCTTTCTGATGAATCTTCAGATCTATGCTGCTGTCGTAACAGCAATATCAAGGACATCTCTACCGGTTACGACATAGCAATGGGGACCACTAGTGACTATGTAATCTGCCTACAAGTTTGGTCAGAAGAGGAACGAAGGAAATAGGACTACTCGGAGACAGACCTGAAAAGAATAGCACTCGATCTCTTGGATACCCCCAGTATAAAGCTCCTTCATCTGGTAGGGTAAACGTGGTTGTTATACAGAACCATCAATCGCGAACTGGCCAAGCCAAACTAGGGAATCCCACTACAACAACAACTAGAAATCAAGCTGAGATACAGTTGCGCTGCAAGTTATAAAATGCCCAATAAATACTAGAATAGAAAACGTATATATCCTTTGACTATTTTAGAATAATCAACTCAAACTCCAGTATGATGACACTCGCTCCCCCACTTGCGCCAACACGTTCTACCGCCTTCCCACTGATCCGATCCCGATCCCGATTGCGGGCGCCAGGGCGAAGGTTCCGGAGGCCTGCCCCTCTTACCTTACAATCTGACATTTTATTCCAGGTCCAATCTTGGAGTAGACACGTCGAATCTCTTCTCCTCCAAAACGCCGACTCTTTGGCGACAGACCAATTGGCGTAACAAACTCACCATCAACAACGACATACCACGACAGTCATCATGGCCGACCAAGCGCAACCACTCGGTGGTCCCAAAGGTATCAACTCCTCAACAAAAATCAAGTACTCAAAATACTAATATACCTCCCCAGTCTGGACCACCCTAATCACAAACACGGATTACCTATCAGGCCTCCTAACCCTAGACTATTCTCTCAAGAAAGTCCACTCCAAGTATCCCCTAGTAGTCCTCTACACGGACACCTTCCCCGCCGAGGGCCACGCCGCGCTCGACGCGCGGGGAATCCTAAAACGACACGTCCCGTATCTCCTTCCCTGCGTATCGAAGGATTACACCAATGACGTGCGTTTCTACGATTGCTGGAGCAAATTGACCCCCTTCTCGCTTGTCGAGTATGACCGCGTCGTCCAGCTGGATAGCGACATGGTCGCGCTCCAGAATATGGATGAGTTGATGGATATTGAACTCGATGCGCCGGAATTAGGCGGGGCCGGGCAGAGGGTTTTTGCTGCTAGTCATGCTTGTGTTTGTAATCCGTTGCAGAAGGCTCATTATCCGAAGGATTGGTATGATATGACACCGTATGCTGCGTGGTATAGGATGTTTTCATGCTGATTGTTTTTTTTGATAGGATCCCGGCCAATTGTGCTTTTACTAGCCAGCATGATGACCCTGTTACCGCGCAAACGGTCGGTGCTCCGTCCACTGCGGGTCTGGGCATTCCCAATGGTGGTCTTCAAGTGGTGAATCCATCTCAGGGAACATACGACAAGATTAGTGCGCAGCTTGCCTCTTCTACGGCGTCGAGCTATGACTTTGCCGATCAGTCTCTTCTCGGCGATGTCTTTTACGGTCGATGGGTTGCTATCCCGTACATTTACAATGCGCTCAAGACTCTGCGGTGGAAGGGTGTTCACGATGCGATTTGGCGGGATGAGAATGTTAAGAACGTGCATTACATTCTGAGTCCAAAGCCGTGGGATGAATGGGCGGCTAAGCAGAAGGGTCAGGAGGATTCTCAGCAGAGTCAGGACCCGTCTCATGCGTGGTGGTTATCTTTGAATGAGGAGCGGTTGAAGGAGGAAGAGGTCAAAGGTTTGAAGGATCAGTTTTGAAATGAAGGTGTTGAGGGCTTGGGATAGATGGTTGTGACCGGGTTGGCATTTTAGACTTGACAGGCTTTGTTGTATTGTTAATTCGAATGTAATTATTCTCTTGGAAGCGTCAATGCTTCCGTTTGTCCATTGTGCAGTCCGTGTTCCTCGGAACGTTATGGGTACTGCCAGTGAACACGGCGTTACACCCCTTATGGTCAGGTGCTTGATCCATATCTTCTTAAGCGACCGCGGTAGCAGTTTTATGACTTTGCAGACGGCATCCCGTCTGTATGTTTTCAGGAATGCTTTGTATCGTGATACACTTGGACCATTCGCCCCAGTCGTTGATATGATCTGAATTGAGAAAATGATTTAAGCCAAGAAGGTGTGCTAATGCTGGTCATATCACATTTCCCCAGAGGTCAAAAAGAGGACAGTCTACTCCAGAAATAACAGGCCATTATCAACACCAAAGAAACAAAAGATAATATAAATCATGATAAGATTACAGTACTATCTCCCAAGAAGTGAAAAAGGCCAGGAAATATAGACGAAGAAAAGAAAAGATTCATATAACCGCCGCAAATCCAGGTTGACGACTATGTCAAACGTATCAGGACATCATTTCGACATTGTCGGCTCGTTGCCACAGATGATAGTCGCTTAAAAGCAAGAGACAGAATATAAAAAGAGGTGAAGAAGGTAGTTGAATAAAGTGTAACAAAGTGGGGGTGGTTGTGGAAGAGAGAAGGGCAGGAAGAATGATGCAGGAAAGCAGTGCGATTAGCACGGTGCTCGTTTATAAGAGTTGGCAAAAATGAGAGAAGATGAAGAATTTTCAAGGAAGTGAATCATCACCGGAAATCGTCGTCGTCGTCGGCTTGGGCTAGTGACTCAAGGCGCTGTACAAGATCCTTGGCGTGACGGGCTGTTTCGAATGCGATAGGTGGGAGCTGGTTGGTGATCTCGCGCAGATGCTCGGGGCTGGTAACGTCGTGTCCCTCGGCGGCGGTTTTCATCAACCGGTCGCGGCATTGATCCAGATTCTGGATCACTGACTCGGTTCGCTCGCGCAGGGCAACATCGCCGCTACGGTCGTGGATCATGTTCTCTGTAGAAGAGCACACATGTGCGACGATGTCGCCGATGGCAGAAACGTATGTCTGGACGGTGTCCATGCCATGCTCGGCGCGAATGCTGGCTACCAGGGCTTGGATGGATTGGACCATGCTATCTGTCTGGTCCTCGACATAGAGCTATAGAATTAAACGAATCAGTAATTATTCAGGCAAGTGTGTTTTTAGTGAGTGGGCTTTTACCTTTAGCTCCTGGAGCTCGTGGTCCCCTTGAGGAGCCCCGTAGCCATATCCATCGCCATTAGTCAAGCCATTCTGCATCGCAGGGTGCGATTGATCCGGAGGACTCAAGACGCTATACTCAGAGCGATTGCTGAGTCGCCTCTGACTAGCCGTGGTGCTGAAGTAGTCTGGGAACTTCTCCTGCGATAGATCCTCCTCATCCTCCTCCAGACCATCAGCAGGTGATGGCTGGATCTTGACCGCGCGAATCAATTCAACAACAGCAGTGCAAAGATGGGAGGCAGCCGCATCCAACAAGGAAACTGGTGACAGACCACTGGAGCTAGCAAAGTTACGGGCTGCAGTAATCATGTTGTTGGCAGTGGCTGAGACGCGGCCCTTGGCCTTGATGCGCAGAGTAGCCGTACCATCGACTGGAGGAGGGGTCTGGTCCACATCTTGAATCATATGGCGAACGGCCACAATGACAGGCTTGATCTGGTGCGACACTTGCTGAGGATCCTCGAAGCGAGCGATACGGAGTAGCTCGTCAATCGACATTTGGAACTTGGTAACATGGATATCCTTGACCACGCCATCAGCCTGTACCAGCTCATGCTCCTGCGCCATGACGTTTCTCGCATCAGGTCTGTGGTCAGCGAAGCCACCGGATGATGTGCGAAGGTGACGCAACTGCGATTTCGCCTTGGCATAGCGGTGCTTCCATTCGTTCAGCTCGGCTTCGAGCCTGCTAACGTCGGTGGACAATTGCTCTTCGCGCTCCCAATTCGAGTGACTCTGGGCTGTGAGGGTCTTCATCTCCATGAGGAACTCCGAAGCCTCACGTCGAACCTCTGCTGTGACCTGCTGCTGCTGTTGCAGCTCCACTTGCAGGCTTTGGTGCTTGACTTCCAATTCGGAAAAGCGAGCCTCAAGAGCAGGATCTCCTGCACTCTGGCTGGCCTCTTCAAGCTGATTGCGTAGCTCGCGTTCCATATTGTCGTGGTCCGCCCGCACCTTCTCAAGCTCGAGCTGAAGCGAGCTGTTGAGATCCTCCGCTTTGGAAACCTTGCTCTCCAGATCCTGTCGCAAGTCATCCCACTCTTGCCGTTCGCTGTGGCTAATGCCTGACTGGTCAGCATCGGACGACCGAGCGATCTCCTCATCTTTCATGCGAAGCTGTTCTTCCAATTTTTCAACCTTTTCTTGCAGTGTCGAAACTTGCGTCTGGCTCTCCAGTAGTAGTCTCCGCTCACTGTCTCCGAGAGTTGTCGTCGTACCCCGTCTGCTCAGGACAGCGTCCAATGCAAACGCATCACTCCGAGCATCATCGTCATCGTCCCCTCCCATATCATCACTATCCTCCACCATTGTACTCTTATTCGGGACCATTGTGTTACTCTGGAAAGCCCGCGGGAACGGTCCATCTCCATTCATCCCTTGCGGTGGACCTCCGAGCGAACCCTGCCGCGGCGGGAACGGGCTACCGGGAGGACCACCAGACGGATAACCCCGGCCCATCTGAGGAGGACCTCGCGACTGGGACCGTCTGGCGCCAGGAGGGGGTGGCCGCCCGCGGCCAGTGAAGTGCGGGAACCGACGCTCCAACTCGTAGAACACATCGGTCGCTAGATCTCGGAAACGCTGGGGTGGAAGCGAGGCGAGCTTTTGACGGGCGTGATTGCGCTTCTCGTGGAAGTCTTTGCGGGGAGGGAGGAAGGGAGGCACGTCGGGACGAGGGGGTCGACCGGGCGGAGGCATGGCCTGCTGGCGACGAACCAATTCATCGTAGACGTCGGTACTCAGTTCGTGGAACTGGGTGGGCGAGAGTCGGAGGAGCTTGTCACGGGCTTTATTTGATCGACCGTTCAGCCGGTCCTCGCGCATCGAGGCATCCAGAAATCGTCTCAGAGACACGTAGTGTTGGTGTAGGATCTCCTCCATCTGTCGGCCTCGTCGGCCACCATCACGCTGGCCATCGCCGCCGAGTGTACCGACGCTTGATCGTGCTGCTACCGAGCTGGGTGGAGAGGGATTGCCGCTGCCGGGTGGTGCTCCAATGCTGTTGGGACTCAAGGGAGCGCTAGGGACGCCGGAGGTCGGAGGAGTGGCTAGGTTGCCTCGCGAAGAGACAGTCGGCGAGAAGGGCGGGTCCGACTTTTGATACTGGTTGAGGCCGGACCAGTCGCTGCCATCCACGGAGACAGGCGACATGGCTCCCGAATGGCCATTCATATCAAGGCGACAGGAAATGCAAGTTGGCTCCTCCGGCCGAGGCGATGATTATTCGATTGATCGCAAAGGAGAATGCTGGTCTCTTTTTTTTTCTTCTTCTTCCAGGGTATCAAGAAGAGGTTGGTCACACAGAGTCGTTGGACGTCTCGTCGTCACTTGCACAGGTCTCGGTCCACAGTAGTGTCACTCCTCCACACCGCGATCTGAAACCTGAGGAGCCGCCGAGAAGGGGGGGTGGGGAGGGCGAGAACCCGAGGAAGAAGATCAAAGGAAAGAAAAAGAATAGAGACTCGATCCCGTCGAGAGAGAGTGGCCTGGTCCGAAGGAGTGAAGGACTGGACGGAAGGGGGCAAAAAAAAGAATCAAGGAGACAAGGATAGTTCAGGAGGAAAGGGTGCAAAAGTGTGGTTAGTTCATGTCCGTTGACTCCGGAGGTTCCTCAACTAATCAAATTAGCTCCCCTTACGGGCTTGACTTCCTTACTCCGTACAGCGTGCAGCCGGTGGTTGATACTATGACAATACTGCTAGCACATGGCGTTGTCAGGAACCATTGGAACTACTGGAACGAACCATTCCTGATATCACATCACTAGCATGATACTGTATCAAATTTTTCCATACTTCAGGCCCTCTCTAGCTTCGAATATTCGATAGATCTATAAACTTTCTTCCCGCTCGTGCCGTTTCGCATTGTTGGACGATGGACTATTGATCCGTCACAAAAAATCAAAAGAACAAGGGAACCAAATGGAAGAAAAAGAAAAGTTACCTTACGCCGTACAGTACTCCTGCCAAGATCAGCGTCAAGGGACTCAGCCACACAGGGGGGCTGAAATCAAATCACAATCAACGAGTTCCTGCACCGTCCTTTCAGCCTGTCGATAATTACTCCGAGAATACGAGATTCTTCTTCGACCATGTTTCCCATGTTTCTTACATCTACTATCATTCCACCAGAAACCGACCGTCATTGATAAGGCTTCCAGGCTAGGGGAAAGCCCTAAAGGCCGTTCAGGAGTTCGACAGTCTAGACCTTTCGGCCCTCGAACCAGACTAACGCCGGTGTATGGTATTGCCGGCGTATCACACCGGAATCTTATAGTCGTACCCGTATTGTTCACACTATTCCCCATCAGTCACTGTGCTGACTGTCTAGGCGATGAGCCGATCAAATCTAAGACACCGAGACACTCAAAGTCAACATCCGTGAAGAAGGGCCAATAAGAACTGTCAAGTCTCTGTCAGAGTTGATTGTTGAAGACTACCTAACTACCGGATGTTCTCCAAGGTCCTCGGCCTATCAGTGCACCCTAGACTTGATGTATGTCTACCCTCCCGCGTCTACTCTGGAGATCACCGAGATACATTAAAAAGAATATTGATTTAGAAAACCCAAAATACACGTTTCATAGGCCATGATCGGCCGACATATCTATCCGGAAACACTAAGTACAAAATGTAGAACAGGAGCGTAGCTCATATC